GACATGCATAGTTCCGAAATGATTAGGAATATTTTTTACAGGATGAGGATTTTGTTCTTACAAAAGTGTTAGAAAACTTTTAGTCTTTTGGTAGTTTTATTGATAATGCTAATCTCTTTGTAACATAGGTTTCTTTTTGTTGTATTACTCATTATGAATGATGTTTAATCATTTCCGTTAGAGTAGCTTCGGGTCTTTTGGGAACAATTTCATTTGCTATAGTTTGTTTTCTGTTTAGGAGATTCATTTCATTGTTGTCTATCCATCAGAGGTCACGCTGAAGGTGCTGAAAGATAAGAAAGAAACTGAAGTCCAGGAACTTGAGCCTGAACCAACCACTGAAGGTGTTTTCGGTTAGGAGTAATGGGAGTGAGATGATGATGATGATCGAGAGTGGAAAAAACTAGGCACAAATGAAAGAATCCGATTAGGACTTATATCAGTCTGATCAGGATTTATTTCTTTATTATTTTTTTTGTGTACAAAATCAAAGGATGATAATGTCAAATCTAAACATTTTTTATTTTATGATTTTTGATAAATAAGTTACTGTCCTTTATAAAAAATATTTTATGGTCATACCTCTTTTATTAATTTGACCTCTTCCACCGCCTTTAGACAAATTATACTCTGGTCCTTTGTAAGTGTTTGAATACAATCCAAATTTTTGAACTGCCAAAAAAATGGAAAACTACTTAAATATTTTCTATAATTTTTAACTTTTAAAATTTTTTTTTTTTCAATGTCTTGATTTGGTCTTAGACAAAAATGTATTGCTGTGTTATTTCAGTAATAAAATTGTCGAAACTGTCATTTTTTTTTTTTTTTTTGCGACTTACCCAACATAACTATTGTTTTTTTACTGGTCTTGCCTCTTTTGACTTTTTTGAACTGGGTATTTGTTTTTTAATGAATTGTACGTATTTTTGAAAGCTGATCAAATAATCAATTTGATTTATTCTTCCTTCTGCTCCTTCCAATCTTATTTAAAAGCAAAAATAAAGACTAAATTCTAATTTTACTTTTTTTTTTTTTAAATAGATCAGAGGTAGTCTGGTTTGCAGTTTTATATTTTTTTTTCCGCCATGAGTAATAACTTTAATCACCTCATAAATAAAATGGCAAAATAAAAATTTTGTTTTTTTTTTTTTTGGAATAAAGGTTATTTTTCATTCCAGTTCGAATAAAGTTAGTAGCAATACACACAAAGATCAAACTCTTTAGAGGAAATCATATTCCCAATGGAGAGATACAGAATAAATCAGGAATAAACAACTTGTACATGACAATAGACTATACGAAGAAACTAATTCCTTAATTCTTTTATGTAATTTTCATATTTATCAGTTTTGCAAAATTTAGTGTACTTTTTAAGATTTCTCCCATTGCTTGATTTTTTAAAATATTGCCTCAATCCCAAAAAAATAGTTCAATATCGAAATTTTGAGTTTTGTACTAAAAATAGAATAAATCTCAAAACTCAATATGAATTTTTTTTTGAGATAATTGGCAAAATAAATATGAATTTATCGATAAGAATCATAATCTATATAATGCAAAATATTTTTATGAGTCCAACAATGTGAATTTAGAGAATTTTTTATGACACCATTAATTTGTGTACAAAAAAGTCTTATCATTTAGTGAAAACAATTTAACTTTGGATGTAAACCATAAATATAAAAATATTTGCCAGTTTTTGTTATCGAATGATAAAATGGGGAACACATCCTAAAATTAAAGACATCATTATACAGCTAAAAAAGTAATCGATCTATTATTTTTTATTAATATGTTGTGCAACTCGCAAGCACAATACTAGTAGTTACAAATAGAACACGGGAAATCTTGCAAGTTCTAACATACAATTAGTCAATTACAGTAGTAGATCGACCAATTGCGGAACAGTTAGTGAATTATTCAACTTCCATGCATGCTTTGTATTTGCACCACAAGATGTAGAGGAATCCGATCGGACTAAAGTTAACGGCCTGAGAGTCAACTTCATAATATAATTTTTGAATGTTCCGCGTTCTACCTTGGTTTCCAAATGCCATTCTTCCCGCCATTTTCTCCACCCAATGACGTCAGACTGAGCCTTTATTTATTTTTTCATTTGTACTATTTTTTTTTTTTCCAATCCAAGAGGGGCTAAAACTTGCTGAAACTTGACCATGGTACCGATCACACAACAACCAGTACAAAATTCTTTCTTTTCGATGTCCGTATCCCGTTTCCAATTGATTTGGTTCCTGGAAGATAATTCTAATTTCTTATTTGAATGCAAGACTGGAAAAAGGGATAGCATAAAAAGGGATAGGAAGAATTGGAAAAAATTAGCGTTCATACCCAAAGTTTTGGGCTCATCGTCAATTCTATCCTATTGATTTTCGGTTAACCAATTATGTACTTACTGTTTGAAATTTTTGTCAGTTCCGCTCAATTGGCCCAATTTCCGTTAATGTTAACGGATTTTCGTTAGTTTTTAACCAAAAATATCCTGATAGTTTCAGAAAATTATAAAAATAACCCTAAAAATATAAAAATAATAAAATAGTCACTTTTTATTCATTTTTTTATTTAATTTTATTTCTCTTTATTACTTTTCATAACCATCAAAATATACTATATGATCTTTAAGAAAATAATTATTTATTTTCAAAATCCATTTTTCATTTGCAACACATGTGATTTAGGTTGAGGGGTAATTTTGTCATTTTAAATTTTTTAAATTTTATTTTTCTTATTCGTTATTTTTTGAGATTATATTCTTATATTTTCTGACTTGTTTATATTGATACTAGTATAATTATTAAATTTCAATAATTAATTTACCTTTTATTTCATAGATTATAAAAAATTAACATAAAAAAAATGAGAATGAAAAAATCAAGTTGAAATAAACATGAAATTAATACTTTATCATTCTAAACAAAAATCAAAAAAATCTGCAAAGCCAAAATGATTATTTTGGGTCAATTGGGCAGAAATCCGTTAAGTTTAACAGCAATTGGGTCAATAAATTTGCAACGTGTAACAAGATATTAGTTTCGTCCTAAGATCTAGACAACGTGTCATTGAAGGAGAGGCTATTTTGGATAACTACGTTGGAGAAAATGTGTACATTCCTCGTATATCTTTATATACCTCCGATACAAATTTTCCATTCAAAAAGAGACAACAATTTTTCAGTGGCCATTTCTTTCGCAATGATAATTAACAAGAGTCATGAACAGTCAGTATTACAAGGTTAGTTATGCATTACTCTATCCAAAGTTACATAAAATAAAAAAAAGACTGTAATTTTAATTTGCGGCGAAAACAGAGAGACAAGTAACAAGATAACTTACTAGCTTCATGAATTTTACAAACAAAAGGTTTGAAACTCTCTAAAGTTTCAAGTTCAAAAGACTTTGGCGATAGGAGGTAAAGTTCTTTTACTATTCTGCCAACTACAAGGACCTGCTTGGTCTGTAGCTCCTGTAGAAGACAAAATTCAGCAAAAAATAAGAAATATAGTGTGGTGGTTTTGGCTAATTATCGAACTGAGAAAAGGTTGTATCTAAAACCAGGAACATGAAGACATGATTGTAAAGTAACACTATCAGAAAGTTTCACATCACCAATATGTGTAACAGTCTTAATGCTACCATCAGGAAAGTAAACCGGCATGTATGAACTAACAAATTTAGGATGGAACAATAATGTCAGAGATGCAATCATATCAGCAGTGGCACCAATATCAACAAACCATGAGTCTTTACTTATAAATTCAGAATACAAAGAAATCAATTTTGAACAGTACTACTACCTGCAAAGTCGTGAATGTGAGCAAAGTTCACACCGTTCACAGCAAGATTCTCATTTGGTTCCTCCTTCACTTTTCCTTTCACCATTTTACTAAGCTCCTTTCGCACCATAGATGCCAGTAGATTCTCCCATTCTTGTCCCTTTCCTCCCTCCATATCCAGTGGATTATCAGCTAGATTAGCAAAGTTCTTTGAGGAACAGTAGATTTCTCACCCCTCCACCAGTCGGGGTACCCATTGAGTTTAAAGTAGTCGCCTCTCTCATGCCCTTCTCTGTGACAGTAATCACATTTAAGATCAGCCTTTTTCTTCTTGTTATTTCCTTTAGCATAAGATTCCTTTTTACCACCAGAGGTTGTATTTCCAGCATTGAACCGACTAGAAAACATTATTGCTAACATGGCTACTAACTTGTCTCTGTTTTTCTGATTTGCTAAAAATAGAGAAGATCTTGTTCACTGTTGATAAAGAATCTTGCATAAGCACTTGATCCTTGAAAGCCTCATAACCTTCAGCCAATCCCATCATGAACTGAAGAACCTTGTCCTCGTGACTCATTTCCTGAATTTGTCGAGACACTCCACATGTGCACTTTCCACAAAAACGTTGTGGTACAGGCCTAAAGTGATCCTTCTCATCCCACAATTTCTTTAATTTACCAAAATATTGCAAAATTAGCGAATTTCCTTGTTTTTCAGAACAAATGTCCCTTTGAAGCTCATATAAACGAAGAGAATTTGCAGAGCCATACCTTTCGGCGAGTTCATCCCAGAGCTCCTTGGCATTTGTAGTAGAGTAGAAACTATCAATGAGTTCCCGAGAGACTGAACTCATAATCCATCCAAGCATCATGCAATCTCCATGTAACCATTTCTCGAAATCTGGAGAATTGGACGCCGGCATCACGATACTTCCAGCGACATAACCATACTTCGATTTGGCTTCAAGACTGATGCGCATAGCCTTACTCCAAGCCAAATAATTTTCCGGAACAAGTAGTTTAGAAACAATGCTCACACCTGGGTTATCTGAGCCATGAACATCCATCCTATCATCTTGATTCCTTGAAGTATGCACAGGCAAATCACTGGATCTATTAGATCCGGACACATCATCAAATCAAGCAAAAAACAAAAAAGAAGAAAGGATCGATAAAATAGGATATGAATTTAGCTTTCCCTGGTCTGATACCATCTAAGATGGTACAGAGATGATAAAAATGGAAGCAAATGGACATAGATCTGGATGAAGAAAAGAAATTGCCATATTTCTGTAAAAAAAAAAAAAAAAAGATTTTTCTCTCTCTTAATTACAAGACCTGTAGGTTCTGTACATACATGGGAATCACACTACAACTGTACAAATACAAAAGACATAAATATCCTAACTGAGCCTATTGTATAAATAAATCAAAACAGAGGTCATATTTCTTTACAAGAACATTATGTCAGTGGAACTTGCAATTCAGAGAGAATTAGCTTACAGAAAGAAGGTTGCTAACTTCTTGTCTGAGGAGGAAAAGGCAAACCTTTTTGTTTGAAGGTGAGAAAGTTCTCATACTTTGGAATGTCCTATGATAACCATATGCGAATAGCTCGGTTTTCACTTTTTACAAGCCATTACCCAGTTATCCCATTCCTAGAAAACTGATTGATGCTTTTCTTCATTGATTTCAGGCGGAGAAGGCCACAGTTAGCTGTGATCAAGAGTCATATGAGCTGAAAAACGATGGTAAGGGACTTGTAAGGATGGATGAGGGAGAACCAAAAGAGGTATGCTCTCTTACAACACACTTTTGGTCTGCAATTTCATCTTATTATGCACATACGCCCGCCAACCGTTCGGTTGAGCTTGCTCGTAAATTTACATATGGATTCCAACTCCAACAAGTAACAATGATCTAGCTTTAGTGCAACTGCTGGACGATCCACAAGTTGCCGAGAATGAAAAATGCACAAGTCCACTTACACTCTTTGTTGCTTTTGCCATTGATATGCTTTCTCTCTTAATTATCTTGAGTTATTTGAATACGGATTCCAGTATTCAATAGTTTCTTAATGTCTGTTATGCCTTTTACACAAGGATATATCTGTTACTCTTTTTTACAGTGGGCTAATAGCTAAAGTTGAAGTGATCTTTAGTTATGACGCCTTATGGAGTAATGGCTTTGAATTTTTTGTTTTTTTTTTTTTGCACAGTATTTATTTTATTACTTGAAACTATTAAAATGGACGACAGGATTCATGTTGCTCTGCATCCCTCAGCTATTGCAATTTTGTAGGTACCATTTTCAAGTGCATCTGGAAATATAGATTCAAATCAAAGCCATCAGTTGAATTTGTAAGGAAGAGAACAACCTCATTCCCAAAGTCAAGCTGCAGTAGACCCCTCAACCGATCTCAAGCAAGACCGTCTCTGCAGCAATTTCTGTTCCTATTCTCATACCATCACCTACGCCAACTGAAAAGCAAAGAACATCAGATTCAGTAACCGATTTCTACACTGAAAAGGAAGCATCATCCAGCAGGCTTAACTGCCAAACAAAACCAGCCTCGGATGCCAACGCTGTTAGCGATGGACTTGACTTGTTCTGTCATGTTTGCAAAGTCCCTTAATCTCTTTTAATCCTTCACAGATGGCTGTAGTATGAAACCAACACCACTTGCAATTAATAAGTTGTATTACCAAATCCAGATGAATCAAGCAATTCCAATTAATGGAATGGATCGTTCCTCTAATTCCAATCCACAATCTTTTGTGCTTCATCAAAAGAATCTCCTCGGATAACAAAGCCATTTTCCTTGAGCTAATAACAAAACAGTGGCTAACAACAGATCTTCAATCTAGACAAGGGCAGTACCCCCAATGAAGGAATTGCTGGGACTGACCTAAATCGATAAAAATCGTTTCTTTAAGACAATAGAGAAAAGAGATCTGAATTTTCCTTTAGATAAACCCTTGGACCTCTGTAACCTTGTGAATGTAAAACAACCCCAGAAGGAAACGAGATGAAATTTCGATCAAAATGAAAGAGATCTCGAATTTGATCAAGGTAGATGATAAGGTTTCAGTGATTTCAGTTCAGGACATACGGAGAGTTTATATGGTAAAATCATTTCGACTGGATTTCAGAAACCCTACCCTATTGGAAGTAGCAAACAACTGTCTGAACTAGTGAACTATGATGAAAGATATAATGATATGGAACGGGCCAGGTTAAGTTTTTGTGTCCGTATGGAATTTGCTAGCTCGCGGGTGTTGTCCGGATCGAGTTCGGGTTATAACATAATCGGATTCACGCTCCTTGGATAAGTTTTCTTTATCTTTCATTTTTCTTCTTTTTTCGATCTTCCTCCTCTGTAATTATCGACTTTCACCCCATCATCAGTCGCTATCCTTAGTTCGAATCTCCGAGGTTTTCATTGTGGAGAATCATCGGATCCGTTGATTCCTTCAGGCAATAGTAGCTTATTCCTCTCTTCTTTGATTTGGATTCTGGTTTGGCATATATATGTATTTGGATTAGGTTTCCGCTAATTAGATTTTGAATATTTCAATTTAATTATGCTTGTGGTAATCGGGGGTTAAGAATTTGTTAATAGATCGTTCCAGTACATTTGTTCTAATTGATGAGATTGAACTTCTGGGTATTGTAAATGTGCAATCATTATGTGGATCCAGAGATTAAGCATGGAATTAATTAGTAAGGAAATCCAATTTCTAATTCTGCAATCAATGATGGAAAATTATTTCGCTGGTTTTGGACTATATATATATTGCTGGTTTGATTCTCTTTTCTGGGACTGGGACTTCATTAGATCAAACCCATTGTTTGATTGTGTTCTGTCCTCCAGAATACCGCAATTATTGGCTATGGCTAAGGCAGTGAGAATAACGTTTCCTGTAATGATTTTGATGTCAACTGTTATGTCCTTCAGTTTTGCAATCCTCTACTTCCTGCAACGCCTATGAAAATCAGACCGTGTTCTTCTTGAAGCTCGTCATCAGGTTCATCTCCATCGTAATTGGTATCTTCTCGGATCTCTTTATGTTGCAAATGTGATGCATCAGAGGCCCTTAGATTTCAACCCCTGAAATGTTTGCTCCAGCTTTTCTCTGGAAATGTTTGACATGTCTGTGATGTTGCCGTTTTCATGGTACTGAAGGGAAGTTTGCTCGTGTGATCAAGAGTCTTTTGTGCTGAAAAAACGATGGATGCACTTGAAAATGGTACCTAAGAAATGCAATCAAGCTGAGATAGGGCAATCACAAGATGCAGAGAGCAACGGAATCCAGTTGTCAAATTGAGTAGTTCCAAGTAATTGAAAACAAAATCAGTGCAAAAGGAGAAAGTTCAAAGCAATCATAGTAGTATTCCATAAGGCATCATAACTAAAGAGTAGTGGGAACTATCTGCTATTAGTGTAGTGTAGAAGAGGGTAACATGTTGTATATCTTTCTGTTAAATGAAAAAAGTACATCAACAAACTATTAAATGGTAAAGTCCGTATTCGAATAACACTAGAAGTGAAGAGAGAAACCGTATCAAATGGCGAAAGCAACATAAATTAAAGCGTAATGAGACTTGCAGAGTTTCCATTCTCGGCAACTTGTGGATCGCCCAATATTGGCGCCGCTAAATCATTGTTACTTGTCGGACATGGAAAATATGTGTAGCTTTACGAGTAAGTTTAACATAATGGTTGGCCTATGAGCATAATCAGATGAAATTGCAGTTCGAAATGTTACAAAGAGAACATACCTCTTCGGAATTTCCCTCATCAATCCATACAAGTCTCTCACCTGGAAATCCAAACTCAAAACCATCAGTTGCATTTATAAGAAAAAGAGCAATCCAAGAAATTCTAGCTCATAGAGACCAAAGTTTTGAGTGACTTTTTGTTGGACTTTTGACCCAGAAAACTAGACAGTAAGCGTTTTGCATTGGCTCAGGAGGATGATAAGAGCTAAAGAATAAAGATGCAGGGGAGCAGAATAGAAAAGAGCAATAAAATGGTTGATAGTATCTCAGTTTTCTAGGAATATAATCAGTCAGAAAAATGTCAATATATCAAATCTGGGGGTATACTTCTGATTCTGTTAACACAAGTTTCCAACCAAAAAAGAAAAAAAGAAATCACCAGATACAAAGAAAGGTAATTCAATAACAGCATAGGCAGAATATGAGAGATAATTCAGAACTCAAATTGCAATTCAATTCGAACAATTAGCAAATGCAAAATTCATAAAAGACAGTCTAATATTAGCGACTACAAAATGTTTCGACCGCCAAAAATTGATCACTGAAGACACTAATAAGTAATAATCAGTCTAGTCTAACGTATCCTCTAAGAAACTGTATGATATCCGATGGGGCGGTTAAAAGCCACAAATCAAGATCAATTGCATTCCACCATTTGGTTCAGGAAAGAATCAATGTTGAAATCAAAAAAGCTTGGATCATCCAAGAATGGTTCATCAAGAGGAATATTCCAACATGTGGATGGACTAGCAGCAGTTGCTACATCATCAGGATCCACCTCATTTATCAGCAAAGGGACACCATTATCGCCGGTCCCTTCATCATTACACAAATCCATTGCACCATTATCATCACAACAAGTAACCACACTCAAATCTTCACAGCTGCTTACTGCTTCCATCATCTTCCCGGAACTCTGTTCATTATCAGTAGCCACCATATCGGAATCCCCTAGATTCATCAGCAATGGAGCACCATTACCACAACTGTATGACCTGCAAGAGATTCCAGCCTCCTCATTGTTCAACAATGTTTCCTCACCAGTCCACACACTCGAGTCCTCATTGCGGCTAACTGATTGCATCTTCTTCTTTTTTAAGTTCTGTCCCGCTTGTTCCCGCAGCAGATTCTCATTCTTTCTCTTGCGAGACACAATTCTTCCTCCCTTGGACGATTTGGAATCGTCCCTTTTAATCTTGCATAGCACATAGTCAGAGTAATTTATTCCCTGGACTTCCGGAATCCCATTGGCAGCTGCATCGATGGAATACTCTGTCATGGTCCACTGCCCAACAGTTTGTTCTGCAGATTCAAAGGTGAAATTCTTACTTTCTCCAATTTTCCTTCCGAATCCGCAGTTGTCCCTGACTGGCTTGGCGGAAGAGTTAACATTCCAAGTGCCACAACCAGCTACTCTGTTTCTATTCTTACTGTGGTTGGAATTTTTCTTGGCAGCCTTGGTCAGGAAAGTGAAAACATAGATGACTTTCTGAGACCCAATGTCTCTATTGGAATTCAGCACCTTATGCCATGGAAGATCGTCTGTTAATAACTCCCATGGGGTGCCATTATCCCCATACAGATTTTTAGCGGTGAAAATTCTCTTCTCCTCTTCGGTAAATGGAAGTCCTAAAATCATCCTCTTCAAATAGTGAGAAACCAACTCCTCGTCAGTCGGTTGGAAGCGACAACCAACAACTACAGAAGCCATCTTCTCTTTTTAAACCAAAGACTTAGCAGAATACTAGCAAAATTCAGCAGGCAACGACCCAATGAAAAATCTGAAGGAATCTCTGGGACTGACCTAAATCGAAAAAAAAATCGATTCTTTAAGCCAACAGAGAAAAACCCCAGAAATTCTATATCCCTTTGGATGTCAAACAACCCAGAACGAAACTAGAAGGAATTCGATCACAAAAGAGATCTCGAATTCGATCACAGTGAGTACGAGAATTATAAGGAAAGTAATGTCGCAAAACCCAATTACAGCGATCGATTGGAAAGCTGAAAAACAATGGTTTCAACAGGATTTCAGAACAATTTGGAATTAGGAAAGAAGGGGCCGCAGATCTGATGGCTAATGAAATGGTGGCACTGTATATATAGATATCGCAAGTGAAAAGAAAGAAAGAAAAAGAAAGAGGCGGTCAATCGGACGGATGAAAATCATACATCGGACGGACGAGATTGAGGTTTAGTTGTGGATTTAACTTTCCCTCGTTGTGCCCAGATTAGGAGTTTCCAAATTCTGTCACTTTCCTGGAATTTCCTTAGGGACGTCACTTTAATTTGTTTCCATAAATGTAACTCTTTTTAAACTTTTTTTTTTAGACTTGGTGCGTAAATTAAGGATACAATTATTCAACAATTAATTTAAGTGTTAAATATCTTCTTTTTTTTTGGCGAATGAGGACTTGATTTACCCATCTCTCGTGGGATTCCCGGCGTTACCAAAAAAAAAATCTATTTTACTCCTCATTAATTACATTACAACTATAAACAAGACTAAATAAAAATAGATTAGTAGTATCATTTATTCATGATAAAGTTGGAAAAATACTCAACTGCCTAGAATTAGTAAAACGACCTACATTTTTTAAAATCTCTCCAAACCTAAAACGACTTACAAATTGAAATGGAAGGAGTAGTAATTAAAAATTAAAACTTTTAACTAAAAAAAGAAGAAGAGTTTTTTTTCCTTTCTCTTTTCCCCTTTTTGATGTCTTTTCTCATAATATCAAACTAAAATATATAAATCTCATCATTTATCGTAAATTATAATTTATAGTTCTTAATTACAATTACATGAGATTAATTTTATGGTAGTTTCTCACCCTTTTAATATTATCAAATAAAAGTAGGGGAACCAATTTTACAAATCTTGTTAAGATTTGGGTCTAAAATCAGAAAAAAAAAACCGCCCAAAATATTCTTTATTTGAAAAGCAAATTCTGTTGGAGTCATACTTTTAACCCAAGAGAGTTGCAGAATAATGTGCAGACATGGAGAACTCAATAGAATGACTGATTGCTAATTCGGCAAGCATACTAACTACAATTAGGGATTTATTTCCAGATTTTCCCATACATTAATTTGCACATCTCAGGTACATTAATCCCAAGTACACATTACATTTATTCTTGGAGCCGTGGTGTTCTTTTTATGACTGCAATTATTAGTTTAAATGCCCAGTTTCCCTCCGGTTAGAATTTTGGCTTTGGTTTTTGTATTTGTACTTTTGATTTGGAGATATTTTTTGTGGTCTGACGAAGTCTGGAATTATATCACCAGTTTAATAGTGGAACGCCGGCTAGGGTTTCCTGCAAAATAAGGTATTGGGGGTCTCCCGATGGTAGACACTCCGATTCTTAAGTCATAAATAGAATTATGAAAATACAACTCTATAAACTGAAAGACAGGTGATTAAGCAAACTAAGAACATATCAGAATGTTGTAGGGTCATGTGATATTTTTTGCTTACCAACTGGGACTGACACGATAGGCAGAAGTGTCTATTTGTTGAGATTAATGTTGCAGTATACTATAAAAAGGCTTACAGGATCTGCAGCCAATCAGATTTGCAAAGAAGAGGCAGATTTGCAAAAATGAAGACTTACATAAGTAGTAAACCAGTCTGCAAAGTCTCTCTCAAGTTTGATCATTTGATATGACGAGTATACTTGCATGAAACTCAATGAATAGCCTTAAAAAGTTATGATTTATGTTATACTAAGTTTCAGAACAAGTACTAACTTATTATAAATGAAACAAGATTCGTCGGTAGTGTTCCTGAGGACCCTCGCGTCTATAGAACGCATCAAACTCTTCGAGGGCTATATCGAAGGTCGGGTATTTTTTCCTGAAGGCATTCCAGTAAACTCTGTCTCGTGAGGCGGCTGAATGATCTTCTTGGAAGCCCTCATGATCTGGGAACTGCTGATGATCTTCCTCTTCCTAAAACGAGACGAGCTAAGGTGCGGCAGGCTTCTTTCTCATCAATCATGTTAGCCAACTCTTGCGCAGTTGGGTCTGGTAGACCGAGGAGACAGCTGCGCTTTGTTTCTTCTAGGACATACTTCTTCATCATTCGACTTTGATCACTGTCGTCGCGCAGTTTCTTGAGCTCAGCCTCGATCTTGGCTAATTTTTGGTCCTCTAAGTACTTCTTGGATGTTCCAGTATTCCAGGGTGGACACAAATCCTCCTTGTCTGTTACTGGCTTTGTGTTGTCCGGTCTCTTCGGGTTAGGTTGGGAGGAGCTAAGGACCAAACGTTCTTTCTCTGGTTCGTTTTCGGGCCCTTTTTCACGGTTTCTCTCGACCTTTTTCTTTTCCTGTCTCTTCTGGAACTTCGTCAAGGTAGTATCATCAGCAGGAGTGCGCGGCCTACCCGAAGATCCCGTGAATTCGTCTTCTTCAACCTTGGTCATTGTGTAAGTGGTTCCAAAGAAACCCCAGATTACGCCGGAAAGAATTAGAAAAACCTGAGAAGATTTTTGTGACACAAACCTAGTCTTCGAGTCTCACAGGGCGTGCCACTTGACGAAGTCTAGAATTGTATCACCGGTTTAATAATGAAATGCCGGTTAGGGTTTCCGGCAAAATAGATCTCCGGGAGTCTCTTGAGGGTAGCAGAAATAGGGTTATGAGTAAACGTGTATATGAGAATGGTGCTAGAGATAGCGTACCTCAATTGTGGTGTGATCAACCCTATTTATAGGGATGGAGTTACTTGGAAGATAACCGAGTCCTATAAAGTTTTGTGTTGCTCAAACCGCCCTAGGAGAGTCGATTGGACTCTTTACTCGGTTGATGGGCCGGTCCAATATTGGTGATGGATACGGACTTGTCATAGTCTAATCTCGAGAATACATTGGGAGTGTTGATGATTCCTGGCAAAGGGGTTAGAGAGTTGGTCACTCCTAGAAGCGATCTTGGAAAAATCTTGGCTTGCATGAATGATTTGCTTCCAAATTTGTAAATGGTTACTTTTCCAGTTCGCTAAACTTCCTGCAATTCACTATTAAAACATGTATAATGTTGAAATTTGGAACTTTAGTCGATTAGGATTGAACTTTGGAATTAGATATTATGTTTTGAAGCCATCAAGAACACAGTTTGATTAATATATTTTGTGATTCCACTAATCGGCTGCTGATGGCTGTAGGCTAGAGCTTTATGCCGTCCTCGTCTGCATTCCTTTTTTGTTTGTCCAGGGTGCATGTAACTCACCAGATGTACAAGATTTTGTAGGAATTATTGAGTTGTGTTTTCATTTTCTTGGGGTGAAGAATTGTTTATTTATTTATTTCTTTTGCTGTCCAGTGTCCAGTGTGCGGCTCATCTCCTCCGTTGCGCTCCAAATTTTCCTCCTACATGTTCTCTGTTCTCTGTCCTCCTACACCTGCCACAAGTTTCAGTTTGATTTTCTAGGTAATTTTTCGTTTTCCCATGAGCAAACATAATTACAATTTTAGTTTGCCTTTGACCTCACATTATCACCAATTTCTTGTACTCGATTTAGGTTTGGGCACTGCATTTCTGGTTTACGATTAACGCTTTTGGCCTTTTTATGGTTTTAATGGCCAATTTAATTCAGTTAATTAATTTCGGTTTTATAAATTTGAAATTTGATGGCTATTTTAGTCTTAATTGGTGTGGTTTACTCTTTCGTTTTTTAGTTTCTTGGATATCAAATTAATTTAGTAAATTAATACATACTTTTATAATAAAAAAACATGGGTCGTTGGTTGTTACTGCTTAAGTTCTTTTCTTATTCTTTAGACACAATTTACTTAATTTGCATGGGTTCTCCATCATGCCCTTATTTTGGAACTTTGAATTGATCTTTCATGTATAATTTTGTTTTTTTAAAAAAAGAATTTGGCTTTACTAAATTTATTGCTATCCTCCTAAGTGATTTAAGATTTTCTTTCTGTGGTGCATTTGATGATTCATTGTTTTCTAGATTCATGGACTGGATAGTTTGAACATATAAGTTTAACAGGGAGTTTGTTGTTATCAATTTGTTATAACTTGATGTGTTCAATTAGTGTTTGAATGGTTTAGACGTCTGCAAAAGCCCTTTGATTCTCTTAATGAGGGTCTAAATTTACGGAATATATTAATAAGATTGTGGCCTTGTACCAGTTCTGTAATGGCATTCTGTCTACTAAAACAGCTACTAAAAATTTCACTAGATGGAACTTGGAAGCTTGCGACTGTCTTGCACAAGGTAAGAGTTTTAAGATTATAACATTTGCTGCTCTACGTCAACTTTTAGGTATAGTCAAGCTGGGGAAGTCAACATCTTTTGTGACGAGATAATATGTTTTTCCGTTTCAAAGTGTAAGTCCATTTGAGACGAGCGAATATGTTTTCTCAAACATATAGTGTATGGTATTTTTGATGATGCAGTTTTTCATCTGTTAAATTTTGATGCAACCAACTAGCACGTAATCTGATGAATGTTCATGTTTATCTAAAAAAATTTGCCTAAAAAAATGCAATGGAAGCTATTTCAAGAGTTCGGATTAGATCACATTAAAAAGGAGGTGGTAAAAGATGAAATTTGTAACCAAGGACTAAAACAATTTGAGTGACAAGTAGAAGGCGCTTTTACCGAACACTGCTAAAATTTTAACAAAATCATCAATCTCATAACTATAAGATGATTCAATTACAGAAAGATACAGAACGTGCTAAAACAAAATAGAAAATTGAATTGTTACACTTTTTACCGAAATTAAGCTTTGAATGTGTTATCGAAGTTTAACTATCGCAGATGTTCTAAATACGAATGATGTATAAAAATATAACAAAAACACTGGTTGCGCGATGACAAAAGTCTTAATTTCTCATAATATCAAACTAAAATATATAAATCTCATCATTTATCGTAAATTATAATTTATAGTTCTTAGTTACAATTACATGAGATTAATTTATGGTAGTTTCTCACCCTTGTTATATTATAATATAAAAGTAGGAGAACCAGTTTTACAAATCTTGTTAAGATTTGGGTCTAAAATCAGAAAAAAAAAAACCCGCCCAAAATATTCTTTATTTGAAAAGCAAACTCGATTGGAGTCATACTTTTAACCCAAAAGAGTTGCAGAATAATGTGCAGTGAACGAAAGTAGACTTCTTTCAATGTTGTAGACGAAATTATGCTTTTGGCCATATTTAAAAGGACGCATTATGTGGTTTAGTCTTTGAGATAATAAGATTTGACAGAGACAAATAGAGATAATTAAGATGAAATTGAAGTAGTTGTGGGTCAAAGATTAAAATTTGACTCAACCGAAAAAAAATAAATCAAACAAGTGTTTGTTGTTGGGAGAAAGATATGACAATTTATAGAATGGTGGAAAATATTAGTTATTTTTTATTTCAGAAAATTCATAAGAAAACAAGATGTGAAGCAAACCGTTAGATCTATGATTAACATCCGAGAATCACCGTCAATTTTGAATTTCCCGCGTTCTATCATTAGCTTCCAAAATGTCATTCTTCCCGCGCTATTTTCTTCCCCTCGTGACGCCATATCGTGCGCCTTTATATTGATTTTCGCTTTTATTTTTGTTTACAATCCAAAAGTGGAAAAATCCTTCTGAAACTTATCATTTGACGATGGCAGTTGGTATCAATCACACAAAAGCCGGTACACCATTCTTTCGGTTCTATATTTCTGCCAAAAATTCTTCATTTTTAATTGATTTTGTTCTTGGAAGAAGACTAATTTCTGATTTGAATGCTAGACTAGAAAAAGGGACAACAAGAACTGTCATTTTTCTTAAAAAAAAAAAAAAAAAACCCTGGGGAGCTTGTAAGTTCTATCTTATTATGTCTTTTCTTGCTTGAGGCCTTAATTCTTGATTACTGAATCACAACTGTGGATGGGCACTGAATTTTCAGGATTTGTTCAAGTTTTTCAGGGATGAACTTGCTAAGTGATTATTAAGTTATCATTCGTTTGGTGATAAATCAGGGGTTACTTTGAACTTATGATTGAGTACCCGTTTTAGGACTAGTGTGGCTGTTGCTTTTGGGTTATGCTGTTGCTTTGACTAGTGTGGCTGACCTTCTTACAGTAAAACCTCTCTAAATTAATCTTCTATTAAATAATATTTTTATCCCGTTCTAACTCGGGAGCAGTACAAAAAATAAAAAATTTTAAGATAATTATTATTTAAAAATCTCCTAAGTAAATATAGGTCTCCACAATTTCATAAATTAATAAATACCTAAAATAACAAATTAAATTTGAAGATTAACTTAGATTTTGACTTAAATATTTTTATTTATGTTTACAAATATCATGTTTTTGTTCTATTAAAAAAATTATAATGTTATGGTTAGGATTGCAACGGACTTTTCCTGATGTGAAAATATTAAATTTTTGGTTTTTCTAATTAATAAGATTGAAAAACTATATAAATTATTAAAATATTATTTTATCAATAAATTAATAATTCTATAAATTAATAGCTCTTTAAATTAATAAATTTTGGGAGGACTAAGTATATTAATTTATGGAGGTTTTACTATAATTCATTATCATTTTCTGCATCATCATGTAAGAGAGCTCTTATGCGTCATCCACATTTATGTGAATTTCGCTGTAATAGATGCAATTCCTTTGTTCATCTTAGACCCACATCTTAACAAGGTTGCAAATTTGTTTCTCATAATTCTATTTTATAATGAAAAATACGATGAAAGGGCAGCGGTACTATAAATTAATTCCATCTAACTGTAAATAAGAACTTAAAACTATAACTTACGATGATATTTAAAGAAATGCATCAACAAAAGGGAAAAGGAAAAAAAAAAACTCTTATCCTTTTTGCACCAAAAGAAATAATGAAATTGTACCAAAAAAAAAAACTCTTGTTCTTTTTTTATTTTAAAAAATTAGCTTAACGTTTAATAACTACTGTACCTATTAATGAAAAGCAGTCGTGCATTTTAACAAAAAAAAAAAAAAAAGGTTATCTATATACTATACTAAGGTAAAAATCAGAGATTGATTGGAGAGAATACCAAATCCTAACAAATTTTAGAGAGATCCGCATAAACCTTATCAACAGTGAATTTAAAATGTCATTTAAAAAAAATAAATTCCTGTAAATCCAGAGGTAATCATGTTTAAAACTGAAGTCATTACATATTTTATAAAAATACAAAATTTATGTAAAAATGTCTAAATGTGTATGCCTTCCTCGTCCATCGGACGCGTCTAACACCTAGTTACTACTATTATACAATGAAAACAATCAAAGTCTAAAATGGTGTAATGGGCACAACGAGGGGAAAAATCCATAACTAAAACTTATTCTCGTCCGTTCGATCAATAATTTTCATCCGTCCGATTGACCGCCATGTTCTTTCGATCTCTATATGTATCGTGCCACCATCCGTCCGAAATCGGAGGTAGCAATTCAGAGTCCATTCCATTCTTTCCTAATTCCAATAGGGTTCGTAAATCCTGTTGAAACGATTGATTTTGCTGCATCCCTTCTTTTTCTTTCTTAGTTTCTTAAATTGATCACAGCAGTAATTGGGTTTTAAGACGTACGTCCTGAACTGAAATCACTTGAATATCATATTCTTCGATCAAATTCGAGATCTGTTCTGTTTCATCAAACTCCATTAGTTTCGTTCTGGGTTGTTTGACATTCATTCGGAGGGATATAGAATTTCTGGGATTTTTTCTCTGTTGCCTTAAAGAATCGATTTTTTTTCGATTTTGGTCAGTCCCAGAGATTCCTTCAGATTTTTCATTGGGTCGTTGCCTTCTGAATTTTGCTACCCATTAAGGTATTCTGCTAAGTCTTTGGTTTAAAAAGAGAAGATGGCTTCTGTAGTTGTTGGTTGTCGCTTCCAACCGACCGACGAGGAGTTGGTTTCTCACTATTTGAAGAGGATGATTTTAGGACTTCCATTTACCGAAGTGGAGAAGAGATTTTTCACCGCTAAAAATCTGTATGGGGATAATGCCACCCCATGGGAGTTATTAACAGATGATCTTCCATGGCATAAGGTGCTGAATTCCAATAGAGACATTGAGTCTCAGAAAGTCATTTATGTTTTCACTTTCCTGACCAAGACATCCAAGAAAAATTCCAGCAACAGTAAAAATAGAAACAGAGTAGCTGGTTGTGGCACTTGGAATGTTAACTCTTCCGCCAAGCCAGTCAGGGAAAACTGCGGATTCGGAAGGAAAATGGGAGAAAGTAAGGATTTCACCTTTGAATCTGCAGAACAAACTGTTGGGCAGTGGACCATGACAGAGTATTCCATCGATGCAGCTGCCAATGGGATTCCGGAAGTCCAAGGAATAAATTACTCTGACTATGTGCTATGCAAGATTAAAAGGGACGATTCAAAATCGTCCAAGGGAGGAAGAATTGTGTCTCGCAAGAGAAATAATGAGAATGTGCTGCGGGAACAAGCGGGACTGAATTTCAGAAAGAAGATGAAATCAGTAAGCAGCAATGACGACTTCAGTGTGTTGACCAATCATGATGATTCTGCAGCCTTAGACATGAAGAACGAGGAGGCTGGAAGTTCTTCTTATGGATCATTGGATTGTGGAAGTGGAGTCCCTTCGCTGATGAATGCGAGGAATTGGGATGTTTTTGCAGCTGCTGGTCCATCCACATGTTGGAACAGCATTCCAGACAATGAAGCATTTTGTTTCAGTTCAAGTTTTCAGAGTACTGATTTGGATCCTTGGCTGAAAGAGCTGGAAACTTTTTATCGATCTTGATTCATTTGGCTGTGATGATCGGGGACTGGAACTTCTGGAAACGATAATGGTGGCCCTTTGCAGATAAATGAGGTCGATCCTGAATTGCTGATGCTGTTGCTGCTGCTGCTTTCTTTCCTGAAAGAAATGTTGGACAGTTTGTTGTTCCTGAATTGATCCTTAATTGATCTGATTTATTGTTCTTAACCCCATTGCATATCAGACAGTTTGTAGAGTATCTGTTCAGATTTTGATAGAGGGTATCTTAGACTAGACTGATTATAGTACTTACTAATGTCTTATTGATCATTTTTTGGCGGTCAAAATGTATATTTGCCAAGCATTCAAATGGAATTGAAATTTGACTTATGATGATAATAATATTTCCTATTCTCTTGATGAAAAAAATAGTTCTAGCATTCGTATGATCCATCAAATGGTATAATTGTTTGAAGTCTTAAGCGGTTGGCACCTCTGTTGTACCCATTAAACCATATCCTTTGACTAGTGATCTTGCAACGTTCGAGAAGGAAGCCCCCAGATTTGATATGTTTACATTTTTCTGACTAATTATATTCCTATAAAACTGAGACACAATCAGCCATTTTGTAGCCCTTTCGCGCTTTTTGCCTCTTATTATTCTTTTCCACTCATACAACTAGCTTCGGATAAAGACTTGGTGCTGCTTTGAGACCTTGCATTTCCTTCTGCTGGCCACTTTTGGCTGGTTTTGTTGATACTTTAACTGCATGCCTTTGTCAGTCGCATATTTCTTGTAGCCACGGTGATAATTTTTCGGTTGCAGCTTCTGCTTGAGTTCTCTTCTGCTTCCCTGCATCTTTATTCTTTAGCTCTTATCATCCTCCTGGGGAGTAGACATGGCATTATGTGCCACTCAAAGGTCTAACAAAAAGTAACTCAAAACTTTGGTCTCTATGAGCTAGAATTCCTTGGCTTCACAGAGTTGAAGAAGGGAATTCCGAATAAGTTCAGTGGAAGTACCCAACAGGTGCATCACTAAGAGTAACATCAAAACTCATTCTGGAACTAACTTGTGGCAACTGTTGTGGATTCGAGGTCTGTGTTCTTTGCTGGTAGAGGCAGCTGGTAGATGCTTCCTCTTCAGCGTAGAATTCAGTAACTGAATCTGATTCTCTTTGGTTTTCAGTTGGCATAGGTGATGGTATGAGAATAGGAACTGAAATTGGCATTTCTCCTTTTGCGGTGGAAATGGACCTCTTGAGATTGATTGAGTTTTAGTGTAGCTTGGCTTTGGAGATGAGATTGCTTTTTTTCTTACAAATTCAACTGATGGTTTTGAATCTGGATTCCCAGATGGTACCTCATCAATCCTTAGAAGTCTCTCACCATTTTTCAGCTCAAATTACTCTTTATCCCACAAGCCAAATTCCCTTCACTATGATTGAAACAGCAACACCACAGACATGTCAAACATTTTCAGAGAGAACCTTAAGCAAACATTTCAGGAGTTGAAATCTAAAGGGCCTCTGATGCATCGCATTTGCACATGAAGAGATCCTACAAGATACCAATTATGATGGAGATGAACCTGATGATGAGCTTCAAGAACAACACGGTCTGATTTTCATAGGGGTGGCAAGCCTGAAAGTTCCTAGTCGGCCTCAACTAAGACAGGCAGTAGAGGATTGCAAAACTGAAGGACATAACAGTTGACATCAAAATCAAACAATGGGTTTGATCTAATGATGTCCCAGTCCCAGAAAAAGAGAATCAAACCCAAAAATATATACTCCAAACTTGCGAAATAATTTTCCCATCATTGATTACAGAAGTAGAAATTGGATTTCCTTATTAAAATTTCATGCTTAATCTCTGGATCCACATAATGATTACATACCCAGAGAAGTTCAATCTCATCAATTGGAACAAAATGTACTGTAGTAACAATTTCTTAACTCCCGATTGCCACAAGCATAATTAAATTGACAACTACAAAATCTAATGAGCTGAAACCTAATCCAAGTACAACAATGCAGAAACCATACATATATGCCAAACCCTAATCCAAATCAAACAAGAGAGGAATAAGAAACAATTGTCTGAAGGAATCGACGGATCCCATGATGGTGCCGTTCTCCACAATGAAAACCTCGGAGATTCGAACTGAGGACAGCGAGTGATGATGGAGTGAAAGTCGATGATTACAGAGGAGAGACAGAGGGGGAAGATCCAAAGAAAAGAAAATTGAAATAAAAGAACACTTATAGAAGGAGCAAGAGCCTGATTATGTTATTGACATAATAGTTTTTCGCGATTGGGGCTTATTCTTGCGCAACTATGAATTTTAAGATTGTTGATGTTCATCCGCCAATTATTACAGCAGAAGAATGAGAATCAAATCTGTAAGAAATGAAACGCCAGAGTCAAACGATCCTACAAGTGATGTTCATCCTATGATGATTAGTTGTTCATTTCAAATATATGATTGTTCATCCTCTGAGAGTGTCTTGCTCATTTTATATGGATTATTTGTTCATTCTGTGAGTTCATCTCCTGAGAGTGTCTTTCTCATTTCATATGGATTATTGTTCATCTTGTGATGTTTATCCTCAGAGAATGTCTTGCTCATTTCGTATGGATTACTGTTCATCCTGTGATGTTCATCCTCTGAGAGTGTCTTGCTCAGCCTGTTAAATACAATGCTCATCCTGTTTGATATAATGCTCATCCTGTATTTGCAATTATTCTTTCCAGTCCATTGTGAACAACAAATGGTTACAATTGTGGCCTTCTGCCTGCTGCCTCAACAGGGGTAAAACTATTTCATTTGAAACCTTTACTATTGTTTTTAACATTTAGCTTGTCTCACGTTGTGTTTGTTCTGGTTTCTCTTTCTCTTTTCGACCCTTTTAAATAGAGGAGAAAAGATAGCCTGAGTGATTGCCTTAACGGATTGAGGATGAGATATCTAGCTGAGATCATGCAATCAAGAACCAACATCTTGTATTCAGAGCTTGAAGAAAAAATCAATGAATTTTATCTAGAAAATTTATAGGGCAAAAAGTCTAATGTGAAGCCTACTGAATTTTTTTGACTTATCAGAATAGGAGTTTGTAGATATTTGATTAGGTAGTTATCTGAAAATGACAATGTGCGCCCTGCTGAAATGTTTGAGATGTCCTCAATCACTTTAAAAGTTGAAAATTCATTATTAATCACTGAAATATTTTTTTTTTACAAATTGTGAACTGAAAGTTCATTTAAGATTTCCTTCTGTTCACTGCACAAGATACAATGTGCATCTTGTTTAACTCCAATGTTCATCTGAAAACCAGTCTTGTTTGTAAAAAAAAATATCCTGTATGTTTATCCTATTAAACGATAATGCTCATCATGTTAAACACAATGATCAATTTGAACTACAATGTTAGATTCTGGTCGATTCAGAAATAATACGTAATTTGTTAAAATACATCTAGGCAAAATCCTAAATGCTAAACCCTAAACGATAAACCCTAAACAACTAGGCCCTAACCGACAAGGAAATGCTTAAAGCCATACTAAATCCTAAACCCTAAACCCTAAACCCTAAATGCTAAACGCGATAATATAATTTTTTTCGGTTGAAATTTTTTTAAACCGATTAGGCTAGGAAAAAAATTTAAAAGGTTAATCATTTCCTGACACAAACTAGACCCTAATCTATAATCGAAATGCTTAACCCCCTCCTCCCTAAACCCTAAACCGACATGGTTTTGAATTTTTTAAAACATTTTTTTTTGGTTGAAATTTTTTAAGCCGATTAGACTAAGGTCTCGTTTGGTTTTAAAAAATTTAAAAGGTTAATCATTTCCCGACAGAAACTAGACCCTAACCTATAATTGAAATGCTTAAACCCCCTAAATCCTAAATCCTAAACTCTAAACCGACACGGTGTTTAATTTTTTTAAATTTTTTTTGGTTGAAATTTTTTAAAACCGATTAGGCTAGGGTTTCCCGGCACAAACTAGACCTTAACCTATAATCGAAATGCTTAAACCCCTCCCCCCCAATACCCTAAACCCTAAACCGACATGATGTTGAATTTTTTTTTTTTTTTATGGTTGAAAATATTTTAAACCAATTAGGCTAAACGAGACCTTAGCCTAATTGGTTTAAAAAAATTTAAAAGGTTAATCGTTTCCCGTCATAAACTAGACCTTAACCTATAATCGAAATGCTTAAACTCCCCTAAACCCTAAACAATTAGGCCCTAACTGACACCGAAATACTTAAACATCTCCAAACCGTAAACCCTAAACCACTACACCCTAATTGACACGGAAATACTTAAACCCCCCAAACCTAATTGATTTACATCTATTTTAAATGAAAAAAACGGTTTATGCTGTTAGTGTGCTTACCTCTAAACATCTTGATAAAAATTCAAAAACACATAAGAATTTTTACACAGTTTGGTATCAAATTGAAAATTTATTAAAGCTTTTCTGTTATTCACTGAGCAAGGTACAATATTCATCATATAAAATTACAACGTTCATCTTGAATTCAAAATAACTACAATATACAAAATCTTGTATAACTACAATATTGCTCATATCCAGCAAGTATCGTTCATTCCCATGCAATCATAGCTCATCCTGCGAAACTCTCAAGTGAATTTTACGTCTATAGTTCACTGAAAAACTATCAAGTTCATCTCAAGAACTGTGATGTTCATCCTGCGAAATTAAAATGTTCATTTCAGTAACATCAAATGTTCATTGTAGTAACCATAAATAAGTAGAGAGTGATATAAATTTATGATGCAAGAAATCCAATATTATCTCCATAATCCATCAACTTCAGAATAACATGCTGATGATCTGCGAGCAATTGATCTGTTCCACTTCAGATCCTATAAAGATTTAGTAAATCTCAAATTTAGATATATGAAAAATTAGACGAGAGAAAAACAAAAACATAACAATTGGATCCAAAGATATAAAGATCAAATCACCTAAAGATACGGATTTGGAGTTGAATTGTTCAGATCCTTAATGAACTATTTCATGGCTGATGAAACAAACCAAGAATTTGGATTCATGCCTATAAAATCGAGCAACAAAACAGGACTCGAACAGGGGAATTTGGGGGTGTTATCAACTTGTTCTGGGATTGTTGATCCTTCATATTATAAGTTGAATTTCAGGAATCCCTTGATTGGCAATTGTTTTAGTGGTGAAAGAAGCCAAGCATATGGCCATATGGCAAACAGTTTTGTGGGCAACAGTTTTGGGTTCAATGGTGCTATTGCTGCTATATAGCTCTGCTATCATTTAAGTTTATTCTCGTATGGGGAGATAAATATTAGGCCGTTAAATTAGTTAATGAAACTGTAAAGATGCAATCACCTTTGTTCATTCTTCTGGTACTATACTACTACCTGTATCTTAATTTGTATTTCTTTGATTCAGTTTTTGGGGAATCCTGTGGATGGATTTATGTACTTCCTACATTTGAATGAAATCATCTTCTTTTTCATTTACTCTATTTTTCTTTCTTGCAAATTTCTCAATTCTGTAGTAGTGCTAGTAGTATAAGATGTTTTCATGGCTGAGGAAGCAAAATATTTCTGTTTTAGGCTTCATTCAATTGTTCCGATCAAATCCCTAATTAATTTGTTACAATGGCTTTATGGATGGCCATCTTATTCTTGCTCTTCAATTTCTTTGCATTTCATGTCTTGTACTTCATGCACAATTGCACAGGATTCTTATGGGTGATAGCGGTGGCTTCGGCGAACTGCTAGAGGTTTAAGGAGATTATTCGGTTGAAAAAAACGATGGACTCAAGCGTAAGTAATCTAGACAAAACCATTTTTTATTGTTAGTGAATCAAGTGTTTAAGGGCATTGTAACATTCATAAACCATTGATCGAACTGGTTGTTAATGATTTTTCTTTGTTAAATTATGGGAGGAGTTACATTGTTGGTTTGATATTATTTTGGTGAAGTTATTAGAAATGTCAAAGTTTAGAAGTTTTGGTGGAACTCTTTAATTTTTCTAATAATGGGCGTCAAATTAGTATTGTATTTTCAATAAAACATTCTTCTGTTCTGTAAATGACTGGGTTCGATTTTAAATTTGGAGTCCAACAGTCATACTTTTTGCTGAGTTGCTCAGAAAGGCTGTAAAGTTGGAACTTGGAACCAGTACCCAGTGTGACCTGCAACTGAATATGCTCCAAGTACTTCTGAACTTTGGCTTTTCAGACTCTCTGATTTTACTCCAAGGCAAAATCTTTGTGGACCATTTTCATTCTTTGACACTGGCTAGTCACTAATAGGTGGTGCCTTGATTGAAGGTGTTTGTGCTTTGGTTATATTATTTCCGCTTTATAAGTGAGGAGTTTAAGTCTCCTCTCAACCATATTGTAGGATTAGGAGCTTACGCGCATGCAAAGAGATACTAAATATTCTGTGTAAGCAGATTAGTTATTTCAAGGATCAGCCTGTGCCAGCATCAGAGAACTATGGCCGTCAGCTTTGTCTGGAACTGAAGAACAAACCTTGCACCTTGGTGGTAATACTCGTAGAACTACTTAAAATATTAGTTTTGCTTTCCATCAAAGTCGCATTGAGCTGATAGAACTGGACTTTAAAGGCTTATGATCCTTGTATTTCCAGGATAATGCAGTAGTTAAGACATCCAAAGGCGACGAATTGTGAAAGTACAAGTTGCTACAGATATGTGAGGCAGAACCAGAGGAGCGACGCATGCCTGATCTTTCTGATTGGGTTTCTAGTACTGCGTCCTCAGCTGATTATCAGGTATTTGTATTTGTAACTTTATTGTCCGTTTATACTGTTCATATTTAGAGTGCAAAAAATCAATAGAGAAATGAGCCCTGTATAACATCAACACAAGGCAAACATAAAGCTCCACTGATTAGATATCGAAAAATAATTAAATTGAACTCTTATCTAAGGAAACTCTTTTCCATTCTCCAAAAGTTTGGTTCTTTCAGTTTTTGTAGTTGGCTTTGGCTCTGCAATTATCTGAACCCAAACAGTGGGACAATGGCTTAGTTGTTGTTGAGCTTTCATCGGTTTAGCATTGTTAATGCACATTGTCTCTTCGTGGAAGCTCTTTGATCAACAACGCAAATGAAATTTCTTAGTTGGATGTATTGGACTTTAGGAATCTACCCAGTTTCTCAATGTTTACTTTGACCAGATATCTTGAAGTGGTATAGTGCCTCCATTAGCCATCAGATTTTTCATTAGCAATTCAGAGTCTCCTAATTCAATTTGAGATTTGAATTCCTGCTGATTTGATTTTTCATCCCTTCTTTCTTCCTGAGTTTCTTACACTGTTAATCGAAGCAAATTTGTTCTGCGACATTATCGTCCTAATTCCAATTGAGACATGAAACTTTCTTCCTGAATTTCTTAAATTGATCAGAGCAATTTTCTTTTGCGACATTATTACTGTCTTAATTCTCGATTTCTCATACTCCCCGAACAGAAATCGTGATTCAATTTGATCAAAGTTCATCTACTTTTCTTCCGAGGTTTCTCTTTGATTCATAAGGAAAGAAAGCACTTGAAGTTGAAGAACCCATCAAGATTCCGGTTCTTCGTTCTTCTGATCTTCTTCAGTTGTCTTAAAGATACAATTTTTAGGTCATCTGTCTAAGCAATTCCCTCAGAGTTTTATCTATTCCACCTTCTGTATTTCCTGCCCATTTAAGCATTTTGGTAGGTGTTTTCAAGTTGGTTTATGATCAAACAGCGAACATGGCTGTTGTTGGAAGTCTGTTCAATCCAACTGCAGAACAGTTGGTTTCATATTATCTGAGGAAGATGATTTTAGGACAGACATTGATGAAAGAGGAGAGATTTTTTGCCGTGAAAGATTTGTATAGGGATGATGATCTTCCATGGCAGATTGTGAAATCTCAAAAAACCCTGTATGTTTTCACTGTCCTCTCCAAAGTTTCAAAAAAAATTCCAACATGAACAATAAGCCGAAAAATAGAGTGGCTGGTTGTGGTGCTTGCCATGTTCATTCTTCGGCCAAGCCAGTCATGACCAATAATGGTTCAGGAAGGAAAATTGGACAACGTAAGACCTTCACCTTGCAATCCCCTGCACAAAGTGTTGGGCAATGGACCATTACTGAATATTCAATTGATGCTGCTGCCCATGGGATTCCGGAGGTGGAAGGAATCAATTACTCTGATTATATATTATGTAAAATAAAAAGGGATGATTCAAAATCATCCAAGGGAGGAAGAATTGTGTGTCGCAAGAGAAAGAATGAGGATATTTTGCTATAAACAGGACAGAAGAACTTCAAAAAGAAGAAGTTGAAATCAGCTAGCAGCAATAAGGACTTGGACCTGTGACGATTCTGCTGTAACAATCTGAATAATGAGGAGGCTGGAATCTCTTATGGGTCAATGGATTGTTGTAACGTTGCCCCTTTGCTGATGAATCTAGGGGATTCTGATATGGTGGCTGCTGCTAAGGAACAGAGTTTTGGGAAGAAGATGAAAGTAGTAAGCAGCTGTGAAGATTTGAGTGTGGTTACTTGTTTTGATGAGGAAGAGGGCAGCGATAATGTTGTCCCTTTCCTGATAAATGAGGTAGCTGCTGCTGCTAGTCCATCCACATGTTGGAATGTTCCTGTTGATGAATCATTCTTGGATGATCCAAACTTTTTGGATTTCGACATCAATTCTTTCCTGAATCACATGGTGGTTTACAATTGATCTTGTTTTGTGGCTTGTGACCCCATTGCACATCAGACAGATTGTAGAGCATATCTGTGCTGATTTACTTTGAGGAATGTTAGACTCGACTGATTATTAGTACTTATTAGTGTCTTAGTGATCGATTTTTGGAGGTCAAAATCATTTTGTAATTGTTAATATGAGAGAGACTGTCTTATATTAAACCTTGTATTTGCTAACTATTGAAATTGAATTGATATTTGAGTCATGTGTCACTGTCTCTTGTTCTATGTTTATGCTGTATTTGATGAAAAATCTGATCACTTTTTTTTTAGTATTGCACCATATGATTATACCATTTTAGCTAACAAAGATTCTGTCGACCTGTTTTGAAGGCAACCTCGTTCTTCTAGCCTTGTGCATTCGACAATTCCGGTTTTCCTCTGCTTGACTGACCATTCGGAGCCTGAAAATGGTTCATGAATACCATTGCCTATTTTCAACCTTACAGTCTCTCAATGATCACCATTTCATTTGTTTCGCAAAGGCAGCAATTTTATACACATATAAGGAATGAGCACATTCATATAGGACAACTAAATTTCTCAATTTCCTTATTTCATCATAATTAAAGGTGTCCATCCATATTTTCATCTCACAAAATTCAACTCACGCTCATACTTTTTTATTTTAAAAGTTAGCCCTTACCAAGAAATTCTGTATGTTTTCACTGCCCTTACCAATGTTTCGAAGAACTCCAAGAACGGTAAGCGAACAGAGTGGCTGGTTGTTTCAAATAATTCCGCAGTTCACTTGGATTGAAAAATTTCAAGTCCGCAGATTGCTATAACCAAAGGTCCAAAGGCACAAACATAAACATATTGTCTATAGATACACTATGAACAAAAGTAAGAGAAAATCACACAATACATGTAGAAATGCCTCTTGTACACAAAAGGAGGCAGACAACTACTACAGGATGGATCTTCAGAAAGCAATATCCATGGCTTCTGCAATTTGAACTATGTCCTCTTCCCTGACCACCCACTCAATCCCGTCTCGTCCTACATGGAAGACACTAACAGAATCACCATACTCAAACGCCATATATACGCCGAAACAAAGTGTACGTTTGGCCAACTCCGAAGCTTCAGCCAAGGATATGTTTTTGATATCGTAAGAGGGATTTTCGGTTAATGCAGCCCAGACACCAGCGGCGCATCCAGTTCCAGCCATTGAACTTTTAAGCCGTTTCCCTTTACCGTTCACTTTATACAATGCAGGTCCCGACTCCTGGTCCCACCCAGCGATCAGTACTCCGAGTGAGAAACTGTCATCGGGATAAAGGGTCAAAAACTCAGCCAGCCAGTTGGATGCTTCAGCAGCACAAGCTTCTCTTCCCTCCTTCACTTCATATTCCCGGCACTTGTTTGGCAGATCTTCCCGCAAATAGTTGAGCGAACTGTCGCGTCCGCCAGAAAAAAGTAGCAATCAGGTGCGAGTTGAGCAGAATAATGTTTTCTGGAATCTCAGTTGTATGATCCAGGGCTACCGTAACTCCCTCATTGTTGCCGATGATGGAACCTAGGGTTGTAGTTCCACATTCGTGCAAAGGGTAGAAATCATCATTGCAGGTATTTGTCGTCGAATCCATCTCTTCTGTTCGTTCCACCTGGAGATTGTATATTATCAGTCGTTCTCTTTGATCGACAAGCTTCTGTTTGCCAATTAAAAATACTAGGTTAAACCTAGGACAAATCAAAATGCCTTATATTAAGGACTGGAGGGAGTGTATGGTTTACAGTTTATCATTTGTCCACAGATCAGTTGGGATAGTGGAAATAAGAGCTGGAAAAACTTGTTTCAGGTTTTTAAAGTGATTCTGTTTTGTTCAGTAATTTAGATATATATGCCTTAGTCCCCTATTCAACAATCTTCATCTAGATATTTGGTAGTAATTTAGATATATGCCTCAATCCCCTATTCAACTATCATTTTCAGGATATTTGGTTATATGAGAGGCGGATATCTCTTCAGCCTTTTTCTAAATGAAGCACCATTGCTGCCCTTATGTGTTGTTAAACATGTTTCCCTTCATCTGATGAATTTCTTCAAGGCCAAAACCAAACAATATGACTGTTTCCCTTCAAGTGTGGCTCATATGAAAACTCGCTTATGCATGGTCGCATGGAACTTCACATAAGTCACACCAACTTCATCCGGGCACCAGTTGTCACATAGCTCACATTTTCTCTTCTTCCCTGAAGCAGTGCTACTCCATGAATTGTCAGTATTATTTGGTGAACTGTCGCTTGTACGTATTGGCGTGAATTGAAGTTTGGACCTGTGCTTAGGTCCTCTCAAGTCCATCACAAACAGCGTTAGGATCCGAGGTTTGTTGTTTGGGCTGTTAAGCCTGCTGGTAGAAACTTCCTTTTCAGTGTAGAAATCGGTAACTGAATCTGATGTTCATGGTTTTCAGTTGGTGTTCGTGATGGTTTGAGGATAGGAACTGAAATTAGCGTGAGGGAGCTCATGTGATAGAATGTGAGGCTGGAATACAACAACAACAACCCAGTATATTCCCAACTCGGTTGGGATCTGGGGGGTCAAGATGTATGCAACCTTATCCAGGGAGGCTGTTTAAGAAGTACGATCCAAGATACATTGGTGCATTGATGTATTGATTTCCGAAAACTTCACTAAATTAAGAAGCACCGGAATTTAGATGAGCTATTTTGATCTAATCCATTATTAGTACAAAGCTGAAAGAATTGTCAATGATGACTCTTCCATCCATTTGCAATGATCAAAATGTGAGGCTGGAATCAGGTGAATAATTCAGATGAACTTTGTTAATAGAGCATTTTAATTAGGCTGATTATGGTGCTCAAAAATAAACAAAATCTTGAAAATTTTAGTACTGGAATGACAGAGATTACGTTGCTTCTGATGTGCCCTCTTATTTAGGTAATCCATTCTCCCCTTATTATGTCCAGATCAGTAGTCAGTTTGCAGCACATTGACTTTGGAGTTTGAAAGGGTTAATGAATGAAATTTGGAAGCCCACTTTTTGTTTCCTCATTGTTAAAGTCTCCCTAGTATTTAAACCCACTCACACTCACTAGGTTCATTCATTTCCTTACTACAAACACACACACACACACACAGTGTAGCTAAGGTAAACTAGAGAAATGGGAAGACCACCATGCTGTGAGAAAATAGGAATAAAGAAAGGGCCATGGACACCTGAAGAAGACATCATCTTGGTTTCTTACATCCAACAACATGGTCCTGGTAACTGGAGATCTGTCCCTACTAATACAGGTATTAAATTAACATATACCCTTCAACCGGAGACTCTTTTAATTCCCTTTTACTCATTCATAAAGTAATCTGAAAACTGAAAATGGTTTAACTTGTTTGCCCTGATATGTACCTCAATTGAAGGGCTGCTGAGATGTAGCAAAAGTTGCAGGCTACGATGGACGAATTACTTGCGGCCTGGCATCAAAAGGGGAAACTTCACTCCCCATGAAGAAGGCATGATCGTCCATCTTCAAGCCTTATTGGGAAACAAGTAATCAAGTTTTCGATCCATTTCGCATTTGTTTTGTTTGAAACTTTGATATGTATACTTCCAATCTATATGCATCTGTGCTATAATGATGGTGTTGTTAATTAACAACAGATGGGCTGCTATAGCGTCTTATCTTCCTCAGAGAACTGATAATGACATCAAGAACTATTGGAACACTCACTTGAAGAAAAAGATCATGAAAAGCACATTCCAACCAGATTCAAATTCTTGTTCAACAACAACAACAAGACTGCTTCATGATGAGTTTGACACGAAAACTGGCCTAAATCGAATCCACAACTCCTCCTCCTCTTCCTCAGCTTCTTCCTCCTCCTCCACTCTGTATGCCTCCAGTGCAGAAAATATTTCAAGATTGTTACAGGGTTGGATGAGATCATCATCTTCTCCAAGATCCATTGCTACTACTAGTTCACCAAATGGTGGCGGCGGAAGCAAGATTTCCAAGTATTATATACCAGTGGTGATGCAGCAAGGGGAACTGGAGGGTGAAGATGATGATCATAGGGATGAAATCAAATCAATGTTGGCATTTGATCATCATCATCATCATCAGAATGCTTTGTTGCCTAATTGGGAAAGATCATCTAACTGTGATAATTCTAATGATGGCCAAAAGAAGTCATCAAGAACCAGTGTAATTGATGATGATGATGATGATGGAGAGAAGCCAAAAATGCAAGGAGAAAGTGATGATCATAATAATTCTCCAGCAGCTCCTCTGTCATTTTATGAAAATTGGTTGCTGGATGAAAGCACTACTATTGCTGCTACTACTCAAGTTGAAAATCCAATCATCAATCTTCTCATTGATTATTAATTAGTATAACGGTTTGTACTTTTCTTTAGAAATTACACGACTATTATTATGAGACGTCATACACTGTATTTCTCGAAGAGAAACTAATAAAAAAAATCTCCGAAAAGTCTGAGCAAAGAATCTCCTGAAACTAATGTATTCACACCCCCACTTTGGTACAATTATGATTATAAGAGCAAAGATCAAACATGTATTATAGATTCTTGAAGAAATACATCAAGTTTGTTAATTTCTATTTGAAGGGTGTTTTTTTTTTTTTTTTAATTGAGACCTTTGGTCGGGGAAATTTCACCATTCAAGTATTTTAAAATGTAACACATATAAACAAATTTTACATATATTCTAATAAGTCGCAAACTCTTTTCATTTAAAAGAGGGAAATCGCTATGTCTGATCATCATTCTTTTTACATATATATATATATATATATATATATATATGCAGATTCATTCATCCCTATTTTTCAGTATTATCAGATTAATTAGTTAAGATCTTAATATTAAAAAGTAGCAAAATGAAATGTCCTATTTGTTGCAGGGTGTAATTTTTACAACCACGTACTACTCCCTCCGTCCCATAATTATTGTCCAGTTTGGGTTCTCATAGTTAGTTAAAATTGTACTAAAAATGAGATCTCAAACTGAACAATAATTAATTTTGGGATAGAGAGAGTATTAAATTGTGGAGTACTTGATGATAAATGGGTGCATCTTGAAAACATTGATGGTGAGCTAGCTAGTTTTGCAACCCATGTAACCGACTGACTAATAATCATATAAGTAGGCTGTCAATAAAAACGGTGGCAACCACAGAATCACATGGAAATTAAAAAATCGAAATGAAAAGACCCCATTTTTATCATTATTTATGCGATACAAAATTGATTACCCAATCGAGTTTTGAACTCTAATCTCTTCACGTTACATAAATATATATGTGCAAAATCATTTATTATATTCATTTATTGGACGGAACACCGAAGAAAATCATTTGGGTTTATAAGAAAATGTGTAAAAAGGTTCATGGCATTGAAACTGTAGGGTGGATCACGAAAGTCTTGAGCTATGGGAAAAAATGGGTATTCCTTTCCCATGGGGAAATAATTATAAATAGTAGGTCAAGGAAACTATAAGGGAAAAAAATAAAAGAGGCAAACACATGTGAACTTCTTTGACCTTTCGGTGCTGTAACCTGCGCTACTTTTACACAATGCATGCGACTTTGATAAATACTTGTAAAAAAGAAACTGCAGTTTCTTTAGCATAGAAGTACTTCTTCCGTCCTAAAATTATTGTCCAGTTTGAGATTTCCCTTTTAGTATAATTTAAATTAGAAATGAAAATCTAAACTCGATAATAATTATGGGACGGAAGGAGTACGAGTTTGCATGATGATCGTTGAGAATTGAGATGAGATCACGGCATCTTGTCTTATGTTTCACAAGATGGGGGGAATCATCACAGTCACCACTTAAATTTCTAATTTCTAAATATCACACTCATATACGCGTGTTTGAACGATTCACTCCAACAACACGAGAACATATCAGATCAAGAGTTATCTAATTTTTATTGTTATCTTTAATTCTTGCTATTTCTCAGAAGTTTCGTTTTTTTTTTCCCTTCACCATCTTAAATTCTTTTTTCTATCATCTTCTATTAGTACGCAAATAAATGGCAATCACATGAACGTATTGTTTCCTTTTGTGAGTGTCAGTTTAGACAAAAATCGAAGTCTACATCATAATCTTTTATGATTTTTTTAATAAAGTTTTTAGAATTTTTATTCACATCCGATACTATTTTATATCTATAGTAGAATATTTATAAATTAATAATCGATAAATTAATAACATCTAATAAATTAATAACTTTCTTTGGTCCCAAGTTGGACCAGTAAAAAAACAAAGCCAATTGAAAAAATAATAAAATAATAATATTTTAGAAATCTCCAATGTAAATATAGATCCAACCAATATGATAAATTAATAATGACTTGAAAATAGAAATAATGAGGAGCCGTGAATATGAATCTAGTAATGTATATGTTCTTTCTTGAAATTTACATTTAAAGAGATTCATCTTCTTTTCTTTTTTTTTTGTGTGTGTGTGCATTGTTTTCAAAAGTTATGGTACAGATTTTTTATATTGAAACAAAATTTTTTAAAAGTTATTCCTCTAAGTGCTTCATTTTGTTTAGTTGGTTTTTATAAATACCGAATCATCATTATTTTCATGTTAAGCCAAAGTTTTAGTGATAGTAGTAGATGCAATGTCTCCAAACATTTTATGAACTAATTATCAATTTATCGATAAATTAATGCATCTATAAATTAATAATTTCTTGGGATCTTAACATTATTAATTTATAGATGTTTGACTGTACTCCTTTTATTCGAACAATTTGTTACTAAATAATACTCCCTCTGTCCCATAATTATTGTCCACTTTGCCCAAAAAATTTTGTCCCAAAATTATTGTCCAATTTGACTTTTTATAGATCAAGTTACACATTTGTCCTTAGTAAAAAATATAATCCATAAAATCTTAGTAGTTAAACAATTACTTATGTAGGGGTACATCTGGTTGTTCAAGGTAAAATATAGTTTAGTTTGACTAAAAATAAAATTTTTCATTTTAGTAAAAGTGGACAATAATTATGGCACGGAGGGAGTACAACAAATTAATTTTTTTCTAAGATTAAAGGAGATCTCAACGCAACATCAATCGATATGAAATTGTTGGGAATCAAAAGCAAAAATGATCGTTTTTTGGCCAGAAAAACGATTTGTGGGGGGGAGAAAATAGAAAAACTACCTTTTGCATGAGTTTCTTTGGGAATTTTTTCTGCTGAATTTAAGAACCTATTTTCTCTTCACTTCTTGCGCTTTTCTTAAAATAAACTGAAGTATTTGGAAAGACTGAAAATCCTACACGCGAATAGCTCATTTTCTGTCAACTATTCTTCTCTTACTTTAAACAATGAAGATTCTAGAATCAAAATGTTGCCTCTTACAAAGATAATAGCAGTAAAAACTCTCGATTTAGTTAACCAGAACAAAATATTATAGAATAAGTTCCAATTGTTATATCGATGGTGAAATTATAGAAATGTTGTGGTGAAAGTTTTGTTGTACAAAGTGTAAAATGATGAGGAGTAGATAATGTAAATAAATTATTGACGTTAGATTTTGTGTGTGTAACATGTTGTTTACAAAGTTAGTACTCCCTCCGTCCCATAATTATTGTCCAGTTTAGGTTTTCATTTCTAGTTCAAATTATACTAGGAGTGAAATCTCAAACTATACAATAATTTTGGAACAGCGAGAGTAGTAATTTGTTGTGTTATTATTTCAAAGATACGAATCATCAGTTTAGGTTTTCATTTCTAGTTCAAATTATACTAGAAGTGAAATCTCAAAGTAGACAATAATTTTGGGACAGCGAGAGTAGTAATTTGTTGTGTTATTATTCCAAAGATACGAATCATACGATTACGATATGATGAATGTCACAACGTGTATGCCTGCTTGTATATACTAAACTAAAGATTAGAAGGGCCTAAGTTGAAAATTCTCTGACACGAAGGTAGAATTACAAAATATCCCCAAGGATTTAGACAAACTACAAAAAGTACCTCCTGTTTCTGGTAAAACCCTCTTCTCTGCACCATAAACCCCTCCATGATGAATACAGGATCCCGGAAGGCCCGAACCCATTCTGAAACGATACAGGTTCTCAGACTATGCCTTTAAGTCTCCTTTTAATTTGCATAATAGTTCGTATCTTTTGCCTTTTTCTTCCCCATTCTATTGTGCCAATTGTTTGTGGGGGCATCGTTACTCGTTTATCGTACCCTTATCTGATTTGTTCTTTCACTATCGTATATTTTTCTCTGTGAATTGAAATGATGTTTTGATGCACAATTGGAATCTTCTTTATCAGCGTGTTAAAAGGCCTAACTTTAATTAGTTTGACCTGCTGCATTTGTTGTTCTTGGCTCTATGTAGTATTTATACGAGTGCTGTAGCAAAAAGTACTATGTTTATACGAGGAAGTAATATAATTTTGGATAGTGGCCCTTTGTTCTCCCCAGTTTGTTGACACTCAATGACCTATGCTGCTTAGTTTTCAGGTTGTGAAGTTTCAATAGTACTCCTTAATGTAAAAAAGTTGGCATTTTCGTGTGTGATGGAGTGTGTGTGTGTGTTTTCTTTCAGCCCCTTAGAAAGGAAAAGTTTTGAACAGTAGGAGCTCCTCTTGAAGTAGGTCTTATTACTAATTGATATATGCATTGTTTTGGTGCTGCAGTTCAGATGCTTTATAATTGATTTTGCCCTTTATGCTCTTTTGTTTACTTGTTTTTCGGATATGCATCTCAGCAATATGCATTGACTCTGCTTTTTTACAAATCTTGCAGCTGCATTTGCAGTGGGAATAGCACTTCCACTCTCAGCTTGCAGATGTATTACGTGTTTAGTTTCTGGCAGAGCAGCCACTGATTCCAATGCTTCTCTTGGTTAGTCCTTTTTCACCCGCCTCCAACTCAGAATTCTATCTGTTGCTCCATGGTACTACTTGGATGAATAAATTCAGAGTTCTGTATGCGTGAAATTTTGGGGCATGGTACACGCATAAAATGCTCAATGACAAGCCTAACTATATAAAATGTTCTACCCATATTATAAACCGAATCCAAATAGGAGAATTATGCAGAAGTTAGTTAAGTGTGGCGCATTTCCAAAAAAAAAAAAAAGTTAAGTGTGGCACCAAGCTAATCTAGGTTTTAGGATTCCTGGCTATAGAGCTTCGTAGGCAACTGATTGGTTTTGATTGACATATTTACAAATTTGTCAGGATTTAACTTGTCAAGGTCTAAGGTAGTTGCAAAAAAGTCATTGGAAGTGTGATATTACTGTATTTGTAAGTAGTTTACCACCATCTGTGAAAGATTTTTCTTCAAGCTGATCAATTGGCAATCTGCTTGAGATTTTAAATTCTGCGAATGATCTTACTGTCTTGATATTATTGTGAGTTCTGACATCATGCCTTTGTCATGAGTATTCATCTTAGTTCATGGACATTTGAGTGACTAGAACCTGAAATAATAGAAAAGTTGCTTGGAAGCATATAACTATAGCTCTATTTCTTCTTTATAACATTTGCAATTTTGCTTTAAGTAAACAAATAGAAAGTGGATTAATACAGTTCTCATGAGTCATTGAGTCTTCCCTGCAATACTTAATTTAATGTTTTCTTATCTCTCCCTTCAGAATAAAATCACTATCTTTGGACTAATAGTTTCCCCACACCACATAGCTGTTGTTGTCGACTGCTGGAAACTTGAAGCTTCTGTTTATGTCAAAACCATAAGGAATTTAATCAGCAATGGTGACACAGTCACACATACTCCGAAGTTAATGGCGAGAAGTTAACTGCTGACATGAATCGGTTTATATCTAATCCAGTCTTCTTCAGTTCACTACTTAAAAGGGTCATCTTCTCCTCGCCCCATTTCCTCTCCACATCTGCTACAGCCACGGAAACTTTCAAACAACCTTGGGATGCAGAGGAGTTGTCAAAAGAAGCTGTCTCGAACTTTGAGGACATTGAAGACTTTTCTGAGGAATCTTTTGGAATTATTCAAGACAAAGACTTTCTCAGGAAGACAACCAATGGTGGTCTCTATGTGTTGGACCTCATTGATACTGGGGCAATCAAACCAAATGCTTCCCTCTATAATAAGCTCCTTAAACGCTGTACTCAATTTGGGAAGCTTAAGGAAGGCCGACTCATCCATGCTCATTTCCTAATATCCCCGTATCGGAATTATATTACTACACAGAATGCACTGATTAACATGTATGCAAAATGTGGGTCACTGGACGAAGCACGTAAAGTGTTTGATGAAATGTATGAAAGGGATATGGTTTCTTGGACTGCTGTGATTACTGGGTTTGCACAGAATGGTAAGTCTAGTGAGGCTTTGGGGTTATTTTCGGAGATGTTCAGGAATGGATTTGTTCCAAATCAATTCACTTTGGGGAGTGCCTTGAAGGCGTCTGCTGTTGTCGGGAGCTTAGAAGGTAGACAACTTCATGGCATCAGCATTAAGATTGGCCTTTCTGGTGATGTATTTGTTGGAAGTGCGCTTGTTGATATGTATGCCAGGTGTGACCACATTGGAGAGGCAAAAGTGGTATTTGACGGATTGCAACATAAGAATGAGGTTTGTTGGAATGCTTTGATTGCAGGCCATGCCAGGAAGAGTGAGGCTGAGGATGCGGTGAGGTTGTTCGCGGAGATGCGAAAGGCTAATTTTGAGCCCACACATTTCACGTACTCCAGTGTTTTTGCAGCTTGTGCAAATGTTGGAGCTTTAGAGCAGGGGAAATGGGTTCATGGACATTTGATAAAGTCTGGTGTGAAGGTTATTGCTTTTGTTGGTAATACACTTCTCGCTATGTATGGTAAAGCAGGTAGCATCGCAGATGCCCGAAAGGTTTTTGATAGGCTGGTTAAACGTGATGTGGTTTCATGGAATTCCATGCTTACCGTCTGTGCTCAGCATGGACTTGGAAGAGAAACTGTGGAACGTTTTGAGCAAATGCGTCGTTGCGGAATTCAACCTAATGAAGTAACCTTTCTTTGTGTCCTAACTGCTTGCAGCCATTCTGGTCTAATAAATGAAGGACTCTACTACTTTGAATTGATGAAAAAGCTAAAACTGGAGCCTGATGTCTCACATTATGTGACAATTGTTGATTTGTTTGGTCGAGCTGGGAAACTTGGTGATGCAGAAAAGTTTATACAGGACATGCCTATCAAACCCACTGCAGCAATCTGGAAGGCATTGCTTGGGGCTTGCAGAATGCATAAGAACATTGAGTTGGGTGCTTTTGCTGCAGAGTGTGTATTTGAACTCGATCCACATGATTCTGGGCCCCATATATTGCTTGCTAACATATACGCCTCTGCTGGTAGAAAGAAAGATGCTGCAAAGGTGAGAAAAATAATGAATGACATCGGGGTGAAAAAGGAGCCTGCTTGTAGTTGGTTGGAGATTGAGAATAGTGTCCATTTGTTCGTGGCAAATGATGACGCCCACCCACAGAAGGATGAGATTTACAAAAAGTGGGAGGAGATTGCTGATAGAATTAGAGCAATTGGTTATGTTCCTGATACTAGTCATGTGCTTTGGTTTGTAGATCAGCAGGAGAGGGAACTGAGGTTGCAGTTGCATAGTGAAAAGCTTGCTCTAGCATTTGCACTTCTGAAAACACCTCCTGGGTCCACCATTCGGATTAAAAAAAATATTAGAGTTTGTGGTGATTGCCATACAGCATTTAAATTTGTCTCCCAAATAGTGGGGAGAGAAATTATTTTGAGGGACACCAATCGGTTTCATCATTTTCTTGGTGGCTCTTGTTCATGTGGAGATTACTGGTAGCGCGAGAATCAATGCCTTACATCTGACCGATCATTCAATTTGAAAGGGTTAGTGAAAATGTATGGATATTTCCATTTCTCTTTCATCATTGCAGATTGGCGCTTGTATTTCTCCTTTGCACTCTTGCCGTATTGCACGAAAGTCCAGTTTGCTCATCTTTTGGATATGTTCATGTTTTCTTAGTCTTTTAACTAATTATGGTTATAATTTAGTTCCATATCTCATCCAATCAAGTTCGCATCTGGATCTGTAGCTTAACATCAACTTGTTGCTGTCATGCTGATACTTTTTCCAGGTCCTAAAGGAATTTGACATGAATGATGATGCTGTCGATAATGACAACTTGGTTTTCAACAGCATAACAGGTAAATTGCAATTGTTCTCTATATTTGGTACATACTGTTCTTGGATGAGTACGGATAAGTTGGCCACACCCAAATGCTGCAGAGAGTTATCCCATCTTTAACATAGATGCTGAACAGTAATGCTACATTTGGTCGCATGTGGTTTAAATATCAAAATCTGAACATAATTGCCAAGTAAAATTTTGCTTTTGCATGAACGAATTTGCAACTATAGGAGGAAAAAAAGGAGAACAATATGGCCTAAGTTGCTGGATCACTTTTCTGAAACATAAGGCCTCAAGATACAGCTGGTTATAATTTATATGGTATAGATACAGCTGGTTATAAAGTTGATAAAAGCAAACTTCTCTCTTTGTTAGTGTTAAAATGCTTCCCTCGTGTTATGGAATCTGTCAAGTGTGCTGAATTTTTCTCCATTGATGCACAACTAATTCGCTTGCAGCCAAGTGCTGTTTCCCTGACATTCTGCTGTTCTGAGATGCTTTTTAAGCTGCTTCGTCATTTGGCTTCATAAACACTCCATATTATGATTGTAGTTTTCAATTGCACCAAGAACCAAGCGGACAAAGCCTCTGCAAAGGCTTTTACTTGAATGAGGCTCGTCATCAGATGGCGCTGCTAGGTTGTTGAAGTCCACGATCAGTGCTGAGTTCAAGGCATGTTTATGGAAAGCAAACTCAAAAAATGAACTGAAACTGGGGATTCTTCAAGCTAGCCAGCCATCAAGTTCAAGGCATGTTTATGGTTACTTCTCACCTACAGGAGGCATAGAGAGCTGCAGGCAAAGCAGCTTGTAAGATAGTTTTTGCTGCTGTCCCCGAAAAAAGATGCACCGGAATACCAAGATAATTTGAGTCCTATAACCTCAATGTTTGGACTAGATTTTTTGTCATACTGCATTGTAGATTGAGTATATTGAATGACGATACAACTGTAAGTCTGTAATTATCATCATTATATGATCAGTGACAAACTAAATGAACTTAAAAAGTTCCAAAAGAAATAATTCCTTTCGCATTATCATCATTATATGATCATTCCTTTCGCATGCTTTTCCCAATGATTTTTTTTTCCTCTTCCTTTTCTTTTCTTTAGTTTCATGTTTCGCTAACAGCTCAACTCTCATTATGGAACTAATGTCGGTTGTCCTAAAATATTTTGGATGGTAATCATAACTCAAATACCCAAACTTAGAAAAACAGGGTACTGATCTAGTCTACCTGCAGAGGAATCAGTTGCTATTGATTGACATAATCTTGACGCCGAATGTTATACTGGTACCATAACAACGTCAACATTTACAGAATTTACTGTTCAGTCGTGTAAAAGATACAGTGATGACTATCTCCGCCAGTCTAAACTGGAACAATGTACTGAAATAACACAATTAATTACAATTATTGCATTTCTCAACTTAGTGTGTTGGCTTTTGAAAGGAAATGGTGGACATGAGACACTGATGGATGATATCAGGATGTCGGTCTCAAACATTTGCCCAACTATATGTACGGCACAAGATCTTCAAGCTGCAATGCCTTTCAGGTTCCACCAGAATTCTGTATGAGTGACAACTTCTGTCCTGGAAAAGCCAAAAGAAGATAAGCTGTAGACACTAAACTCAGATTTGCAGTTTGTCCCAAGGATGTGATTATCGACTGCAAACCAGTTTTTCAAGTACAAGTCGGCCTGGACAGTTGCACGAATGAGTCAACGGCTCAGACACTATAGAGTTATGAAATTATGGATCAACGAATGTGATATCACACAGATTGGATGACTTTACAAAATATGTTACAGAGAATGGGAATTTGGTTTTATAAGGTCAGCAAGGATATTCGTACTGATGCACAGCTGCGACACACCATTAAGCATTCTTAAATCAGGTGATTATAGGATGTGACATCCAATGTAACAGGTATTGCACAGATAGAAAAATTAGGGCAAAGCTAAAACGACTAGAGTACCAAGCAAAGCCTCAAAAAAAAAAAAAATAATAATCTCACTGTATCATCACGACATAAGCACATAGATAAATAAGGGCTTGCTTCTCAGTGTGCGAGTGTCGTCGTTGACAAATACCACAAGAATATCAGAAGAAAGCTAAGCCGCTGAAAATGGGCCACTCTTAATTGGCAAATCAATACATCTAACAAGCTCATCACATAGAACACATCATCATTCTGGCTGACAGGATGAAAAAAGTTATTTCAGCAACTTACAAGAGAAAAAAGGGTTACAGAATCATACATTAAGACTGAAAAAGGGCCATAAGTTGTGTAAGCTACAAGCTGACAACAAGCAGTACTGCTACAGTCTCAAACAAATAACCTTAAACCTGAACAAAGAAACTTGATCTGGATAACAAAGTGAAGAAAAGCTGCTGAGAAAGACATTTTCCTCATTCTGCATCCTGCCCAACGAAAGTGAAACCTCTATTGATTTTACGACAGTAAGCCTTCAATAATCATGTACCAGGAGGTCTTAACTTTTGGAACCTTCTCCTAAGCTGGAAAACCAGCTCTCAAAAATATCTAGGAGCCACAGCAAGATCGATTGTATAAGACCTTGACAGCTTTTTTCTCACCCCTACATATTTCTATAGTACTTGTGCAAAGACAATCGAATTTAACATAAACATAGAATAATGCGATCAATGTAAAAATCAAATCTCAAATCTAATTTGAATAGTCCGGAAAGACCCAAAAATGAAGGGGCGAACTCATATTAACACTTAGAAGAATTTCTGACCACTACAAAATGCACAACACTAACTATGCACTGCTCATTCTACTCTAACATATGAGTCTGCGGCAAAGCAGCAATTCTAAAATTTGTCTAGCATGCATTACAAATCAAAACAAAGTCATGGATCAACTCCTCAGTAACCCTGACATACACTCTAGGATAATTCTGTTCAAAAACTTCACAAGTTGTCTAAGACTAAGATCAATGGATTGGAAGCCAGACATATCAAGATTAACAAAAATGCACCATCATCTCTTTCTGGAAAGAATCAAATTTCGAAGTTCTGAAGTTTTGAATCAAAACAGAAAGCTTCATCAACAGGAATATTCCAACATGTGGAGGCACCAGCATCAGCCACACCAGCAGGATCCACCTCATTTTTTCAGAAAAGGCAAACCATTATCACCAGAAATCCAAGCCCCCTTTTCATTATACACATTTATTGCACCATTATCATCACAACAAGTAACCACACTCAAATCTTCACAGCTGCTTAATGATTTCATCTTCTTCCTGAAAGTCAGTCCTTCTCCATCAGCCAGCATATCATCATTTCTCCTCTTCCATTTGTCAATGATTCCCCCCTTGGAAGATATGGAATCATCCCTTTTGATTCTGCAAAGAACATAATCAGAATAATTGATTTCCCCCACTTCTGGAAGGCCAAATGCAGCAGCATCAATAGAGTATTCAGTCATGATCCAGTGCCCAACAGTTTGTTCAGGGGATTCAAAAGTGAATTGCCTACTTTCTCCAATTTTCCTTCCTGAACTGTCCATTATTGGCTTGGTGGAATTAGAACACCATGTACCGCAACCCGCCTTTCTAATTTTCTTCTTGCAGTTCTTGCCAGTTTTCTTCCCGGCATTGGAGAGAACAGAGAAAACATACAGAATTTCCTGGGACACCACGACTTTATTCCATGAATTCACCACCTTCTGCCATGGAAGATCATCAGATAGTAATTTCCATGGGGTGGCTTCATCCCCATACAGATCTTTCACAACAAAAAGTTCCTCTTCCTCTTTCATGAATTGCTGTCCTAAAATCATCTTCTTCAGATAATACGAAACCAACTCTTCTTCAGTAGGCAAGAACCGACACCCAACAGTACTCATCTTTCTTTACAAAAGTTAAAAACCCTTCGAAGAAAACTTGAAAATTCCTCCAAGATAACAGAGAGAAGGAAGCCCCGGAAAGGGTTTCTAAATCGCTATAAAAATTGACCGATTCCTAAATTGTTTACCTCGATGAAGATTGTTTCTTTCAAGAAAACTGACAAGAAAAAACCTTCTTTTCCCCCTCAAATTGACTCGGGAACTCGATGAGTTTGAAATACTCTGAACCCTTTATCATCAGACATCAATGGAAGGAACCCAGAAGAAAGTGGATCGAAATTGATCTAACTGAGGAAGAAATTCAGTTCTTGGGCACACCGGAATCAAACAAGAAAACCATATACCAGAACCCAGTTGATTACTCGGAGCGAATCAGAATCAGAAAGGGGGGATTCTTGAATTTCTGCTATACAGAAAACTCGGAGAAGGAAAGTGAAGGGAGAAATCTGATGATGGAATGGGCTCAAAAACTCAGATAAATTTGGGTATATGGAAAGCGGAATTCGATTGGAGGGAAGAGATTTAGAAAGAAATGGGGGAAGGATTCAAAATTTTCAGTTCTTACGTTTTAACCGTTATGTTTACTTTCCCTCCGCAATTTCTCTGTTCGTTCTTCTTCTTAGTTCTGGCCTTCTGGGGGTTTTCTTTAATCTTACTTCATTATTAATTCTTTCCAAAACTACACAGATGGAAACGAATAAAATTTATTTTGGTAACAGTAAAGAGAACAAATAAATTGTTTGTTTAATTATTCTTTTTCATCGCAAAACTAAAATCGTATCTTTCTATATCTATAGTATCTTCTATCATCTATAATATTATACTAAGAGAGAAATCAGGAGAGAAAATAAAAAAGAATTTTAAAGGTGACACATAAGATAAAATCCTATGTGTTATTTTTCTAATGGTTGAGTTAAAAAATATTTACAACAATTATACTAATAGTTTTTTAAATTTTATGTAAATAAAGTTTTATCAAAAGGTATTTAAAACTATAGTTTAAAATAGGAAAATAAAAATTAATTAAATTTAATGGACGGGATTAATGAATATTAATGCACCAGAATTATTCCCTCCCCAAAAGAATCCCCAAAGTTACTACTGGATTCATTTAATTAATCTCTCTAAAAAAAACTCCTTCCCAATCATGTAAATCAATAGACTATAATTCAAAAAAAAAAAAAAAAACCAATCATTCAACATTAATGTTATCTTTAAAATCTTCTAAAAAATTATTACTAAAAGGATGGGATTTAACTATAATTAAATGTTATCTTTTGAATTTCAAACCAATGCATTTATTTGTGTAATATCATATTTACCCAAATAAATATAATATTTCCTTAATAATATCTCAAAAATTGTTATAAAATCTCCCTCTCAATCATGTAAATCAATAGACTACAATTTTTTTAAAAAAACAATCATTCAACATTAATGTTATCTTTAAAATCTTCTCAAAACTTATTACTAAAAGGATGGAATTTAACTATAATTAAATATTATCTTTTGAATTTCAAACCAATGCATTTATTTGTGTAATATCATATTTACCCAAATAAACATAATCTTTCCTTAATAATATTTCAAAAATTGTTATAAACTTTATCTTTATCACTGAAATTTTGGATAATCAATTATCATCAATCCCAATTTATCTTTATTTATTTCCACTTTTGGATAGTAAAACATACTCCAAAACACCTACATTACTGATGGATTATAAATAAAAATAGTAAAATTCATTTTACACTTTTTAAATTTTTTTGTTGATTTTGTATAATGTATATAAATAAATCCCGTGCATCGCGCGGGTTTAACATCTAGTATTATACTAAGAGAAAATCAAACATCTCCTCCCTTTGACACGTAAGACAAAATCCTATGTGTCAGTTTTCAATTGGTTGGGACAAAAAATATTTTCAAAAGTTACACCAAAAGTCCTCCAAAGATTCAGTTATTCATTTGTTATCAATTTGAAATTAATTGAATATATCAGCCATTAATTAACAAACCCACAAAATCAACAAAAATCATAATTACCAAAAAAAAAAATTTTTAAACATACATGGCGAAATACAATTTCTTTTTTCGTGAAATACAAATATTTCTATGATCACATTTATAAAACATTTCTAAATCCTTCAAATATTTCTAAAATATATCGCTCCAAATACAAAATTTTTTTTTGTTTCAAATATAAATATTTTTAAGATCTACAGATAGACTGGGCCAGAATCGCGCATTGCGCGACCAGACATCACTAGTAACTTAATAATAGAATATCCAGAGATAGAGGAAACTGACATAGGTTTCCACTTGCAACGTAGGACTAAGAATTTTTCTATTTTTTGATTTATTAAAAAGGAAAAGAAAAATTAAGGTCAATCTATTTTAAATGATCCCAATCTTGAATAAACTTCTCTACAACTGCAAAATCTTGAAATTTGATCCTAGATATGGCATCGGAATCAGCAGTTTAGATTGCGTGGTACAAATATGTAGTGGAATATAAAGCCTAACCGGTGGTACCTTGAACAGTTCTCGTGACAAGTATTTGCGTTGGAGTCTCTCAAGACATTCACATCTTATTGAGGATTTGTGTAAGGTGAAAATCAGAAAGTCCGGCACCGTCGAGGTATCAACTTGAGCTAAAATCTATACCTATTGCAGTAGTAACTAAATCAAGATCAAGACCTTATATCGATGGAACTTCACGGGAGCAGCAAACTAGCAAAAAAAAACTCTAGCGTGGGGTGGGGATGAATATTCAGTGTGGCAGATCATATTAAAAAAATGTACTCCCTCTGTCCCAAAATTATTATCCAGTATGAGATTTCATTTTTAATACAATTTGAACTAAAAATGAAAACTCAAACTGGACAATAATTATGGGAGGGAGGGAGTATCATGTAAGGACTTGATACAAGTTTTCTCCACTTAATTATTCCGTTTCTTTGTTGTGATTCTAGGTGTTTTTTTTGCGAATGTACGACTAAAATTGCAGAGGCAGGCGTGTTTTGGTTGTATAATTGTACACTTTTTGAATTAATGATGATCCAACTATGCAATGGCCATATGTACATTCATTCCTTGGCAACAGATCGGATCTGCAAGTGCTCACATTTGCTCTTAGGGTGGCTGAAGCGATCAAGCTTTTGTCTCATGTGCTTAATTTTATTTCATATCATAAAAATAAATTTAATTATGTGTTTGCCGACGTTTGTGCCTCGCTACTCGGATGCTCAGATGTTAGAAGGCAATAAGCAAAATCTGGTGAGCTTCATAGTATAAAATAACAATCTGAATTATTAGGGTTTGTATATATTTATTAAATGGAATTTATTCAAAACTCCATGCTTGAGCCTTTCAAGTTGCAGGAAAATGATGTCGTCCTGCTTTTTATTTGTTCAAACCCGTGTTTTGCTTTGTCCTGTTCAAACACGTAGTATATTATATATATGCTTCATAATGTTCGCTCTGGGTTAGTTTTTATTCAGATTTTTGGTCATTGTCTTCAATGATTATTGATTTTTTTAGTTTATGTGTTACTTATACCCAATTCAATCATTGTATCTGTTTTTGGCAGAATATTGGCTCCTGTCCGCAAAACGGAAACTGCACCAGGCATCAACAACAAACCAGAGCTTGGCCTGTCAGTGACACTGGAGATCTGCTGCTTCTCTAATCTGAGACACAGAAAAAACAAAAATGGGGAAACTCATGCCAAGGAAGAACAACCACAACCACAAACATCTTTGTGTACGAGGGTCATTCTTAAAATTTGTGCTTAACTTCCTTTCAAATGCCTTTAACTTGATTCCTATTTTTTCTTCCTTTTTTTTTGGATTTTTTTTGTTACAGTAAGAACAATCTCTTGCCTTACTATCCAATGATAACGTTTTGAGAATAAAAAGTTCCAATAAAAATCATGCAATCCTTGTGGAGTTAGCTTCCAACCAATGTATCTGGACAAAAAAAGGAAACTCTTTTTTCCCCCAAACCTTCATATAATTTTGGGGCGTAGGAAGATTAAAAAAAAAAAAAAAACCATGGCAATGCGACGTCATTGGGTGGAACGGTGGTTTTGCATCATGTGCTTTAAGATAGTAGTCGATTACTCGTAGTACTTCTTGGTCATTTAATCAGAGTTTTGCCCCCAGTATTCCCAAAATTTTTCAAGCATCATCAATTATAACTTACTCGATCAAAACTGACATTAAGAAAACTTATGAAAGTTTTAATATATTGTCAAGACATTGAAAAGAGTAAAAAATATATATACTTTGTCTCGAAAAAATTGTGGAGTTTAAATTTTTATTTTTAATACAATTTACAGTAAAAGTAACATTTCGAGTTGATGTAACTCTTTTTGTCCAAAAAAAAAAAAAACTAAAAACATAAAATTACTAAATTAGTTGAAAACATAAGGTAAGTAACTAAACAAGTGAAGTTCTTGGACAAATATAAAGGATTGGTTCAATAGTTTAACAGATAAAATTTTGTTTTGTGACAGAAGGAATAATTTCTACATTTGACCTCTGCATTGTGAAGTGATATAGTATGCAAGATACTAGTGCGGATGGTGAATTGCAATTGTCTTCTTTTCTAAATATCTAATCTACCCTTTATAAACTACGCAAAATCCCCTCATTTTTACCCGTAAAAACCTGATCCTCGTTCTGCCAGCAAGGCCCTTTTCCCTAAAGGCCTAATCTACTGGAGCAACGCTCGGTTCTTGCAACGTTATTTGTCATATTGAAAGATTTATCTGTTCTTTATGTAGCAAATTGTAAAAGGGTGTTCAATTAAATTTTATCAGTATAACAATATACTCCTTTCATCCCATGATTATTGTCCAGTTTGGATTTTTATTTTAGTTCAAATTGTATTAAAAGTGAAATCTCAAACTGGACAATAATTTTAGAACAGAGGGAGTATTAGATTTTATTGTTTCACGTAAGAGACAGAGTGCATTTCGTTGTTTTTAGTTATCGTAACCTACCAAATTGAGTAAACTTCTTTTTTCTTTTTCTTTTTCTTTTTTTTGTTGGCCAAGTTGGTCGAATACAATTTGAATTAAATTTTCCTGAAATAGTTTACAATTGAAACTTTGCTGAAAAAATGAGCATACATGAAATCTAAGGATTAGAACGAATTCATAAAGTTTAGGACCAAAAAATCAATAATTTGAGCCAAACTTATGTTACAATGTTGTGAAGTACCATCGGTTATGATGATGAAGGCTCATAGAAATTGCCTTTACGACGATGAAGCAACCACTGGGTTGATTAAAAAAGCATGGTGTAGATTTACATGAAACTGACAGCATCACAAATGTATAGATTTCCCAGATTAAATACTGCTTCATCAATCGAACAAAAATACACGATTAGATTTCAACTATGCACATTATCATCTAGACTATAGAACCATATTCTACAAGCTCATATTAACAAAGTTGGACGGGTCTCCAATAAACCATCTTTTCACTTGGGAACCTGCATCTCGCATGTCCAAACACTCTTGAGCTAAGGGTACTAAGAAAAAGATCCTGCACGGCTTTCACTCAGAGGTTGCTCCTCATATTTTAAACTTCGGCACTAATTTTCATGTCGGAAGAAATTTCTCCAGCTGCTCCAACTGTTGATGTTGGTTCTTTTTTGTCTGTCCCGAAAAAGGAGCAGTTTTGAAAAGCATCCAGACTGCTAGCTATTAGGCGGTTCAGACCCCCAAGACTATCGCTTAAGATCAGATCATCGCTACGGTATCTACAAGAAGAGAAGTCCAAATCTAGTGGCCCCAAAGAATCAGGCTGCAAAGATGAAAGATCAAATCAGGTCTTAGGGGAAAAACCACCATACCAGAATTAGTGCGAAATATCTAGAGAACTCTGGCAGTTTTATAATATAGTGAGCTCTCTAAATGACGTTAATTGATAAAAACTGTCCAGTCACTTGAATTACTAAAGAAGCAAAATCCAGCAAAAAATAACTGACAAGGAAAATAGAAGAAGTTCAAGGAATCTACCCAGTAAAAGTCAGTCAGCCCATTAAGGTCTCCCGGGGAGTTGTCAGAAGTATGTTGATAAGATTGACATTTATCAATGAAGTCAACATCTTGTGTAGGATCATCAGTTAAGGGTTCCTCAGGATTAGGCTGATACAACAAAAGAACAGTATGATGTTATTGCCAAACCTTGATTATATCAGCATCAACAAGAAAGTTTGGCTAGAATATATTTGAGAATCTCACCTCCTCTGGTTCGTCAGATTCAGCAAACCTAGTCTTACCAATTCCCCCTATCTCTGGGAAGGAATTTCTGAAGGAACATTGGATTCCTTCAGATGACACGCCTTTCTTCTGGAATGAGAAGGCATCACATGTTTCCTCACCGTCCCAAATTGATGATGCATGAGACATGAGAGTTGGCTCACAGGCAGATATGCTTTGATGTCTGCATATATGAGCAGCGATGGCTGCATCAAAAGAGTCGCAACTTTGAGAAATCGGCTGAACGCACTCAAAGTTCCTTGGTTCCGGCAAGTCAATGCAACCTGGTTCAACATTGTGAGGCAACTCTGAGAGAAGATCCCCAACACTAATGTTGGTCAGGCTATCAGCCCAACCCCCCGCTGGTGATGCTGCCTTATATCTCCTAGGTTCATCCTGAAATCAAGAAAATAGACAATTGTATCATAACGTGAACTGGGCATGACATGGAACTTCTTGCATCCACTATGTAAACATTAACCCGACATGGAATATGAACATTCACTCCTCTTAGAGAATCACAATTAGACCAACTTTCATTATCTCACACATTTAATTGTTAATTGTTGATGTCTACCCTAAGTTTAAGTGAGGCATTCAATTAGCAAACGAAAAACGGTTAGAAAATCATAGTGCAGATAACCATTTTCTGCAGCCGCAGAAGCATAGATAGCTACCATGGGCTTACAATGACTGATATTTCACCATTTGCAACATATGAAATTATATTCCTGTTTAGTCAGAAGTATCTCGAAAACTTTCGCTACACATCACTAGGCAAAATGTTCAGAAAATACCCTCCGCCAATTAGAAATTGATTTGCATTGACAAACAAGATTAATAAAGTAAAGAAAAATAAAGGACATGCCACTGGAACAAAATTTGTACACAAAATTCTAAATCTAGTAGCTAATTAAAAGGTTTGTTTTACCGGATTTTGATCCTCTTCGGGAAGTGGGCGAGTAGCCTTCTCCCGATCACTCAACGTGGCACCTGAAGCATCATCACGCGATCTGTCGTTACTATTAATACCAGAACTTGAGCTAGCACCACTAACTGTTTCACCAATGGCCGAAGACAATGCCACAGTGACACTCCGTCCAGAGAGCATATTGTCACTTGTGGCCAAAATTTTCTGGGATCCATTACAAGGTGCCGCAGCTTTAAGTGTAGTCTCCACAAGATTTTTATTCAGAGTACTCATGTCTACATAATTGTCGGTTGCACAAGATAATGGAGCTTGACATGTTGCAGGTATAGGTTCAGCGAAAGAAAACCATCCATACCTAAATAAGAAAACATATTTTATCATTTTTTCCTTGAACATTCTTACAACAATATTAGGTTGTAAGTATGATACCTAAGGCGGAAAACTGGTGGTTTTCCAATCAGTGAATAAACATCTGCTGCGCTAAGAGTAGAGTCCTTAGTCCACTTGTGATAGCCAGAGAGGTTCAGTGGCTCCACAGGATATGGCAAAAGCATTAGTTCTCCAGATGCAATGCTTGAACTCCCCCACTTGCGGTGAAGATGTTCCAACACAGATGATATCTTCTTTCGGGTACTCAATGTGAGTTCCAGGTGTGGATTATGACTATCCTGTAAAATATAAACCAAAAAATCCATAGTTCCCAAAAACTGTTAAATCCAACTTCAGTTGTATTTACTTCAGCAGAAATTAAGCACGATACTGCTAAATACCCACCGATTCTAAGGCTCTTCGGGTGGCATCATCAATTGGGAACAACTGAAGCTTAAGCTTTGCAGAACTCTGTAAATTGTCCACCATTGACGGAATATCTTTCATACAGTACTCGAGAGCAATTTGTGCTGAGAGGTAAGCAAGAAAGTTTAGATGAAAATGAGGAAAAGTAAGACCAGTTCCAAGTGGCTTTAGAATTGCATTCTGATGACGAACTAACCAGGTGTATCCCGGACATGCTCGACTTCTTTATCAAAGGACGATCGTTCTATATGCTCCGCAGCATCTGCAACCAGAGAGACCCCGGCAATGGCAGCCTTTTCCCATCTCTTATATGCAGCTTTTGAAACCATGCCTGCAACAGATTTGAGAGAACCCCATGAAAACAGTGAAAGCACATTACAATACAGGATGAGCTGGTGATGGACAAACACAAGACTGAAGATCCAGCTTGAGAAACGTCCTACACTGGGGATCAGTTTCTTGATTACTACTAATTTATCACAGACACCCTCCATTGTCTCTCCGATATTATTACCAAGTAAATTGGATTTACAGTAACAAAATATTCATCTTCACGGTGAAAGATATTTTTCCCAACGAAGAAGAAAATCAAAATGGACGCATGTGAGGGCAAAAAGCTTTTCTAAACACCTTCAGCAGCCCATAAATAAATAAATAAATATATATATATATATATATATATATATATATATATATAATCTGCCTCCAGCAGGGTGTGATTGAACTCACACAAATAAGAAGTCACTTATATCCATGAGAATTATAGCTCTCCATGTCATAAATCATGTTTGAATAAGAGTTGTCCTCAATAAACTAATTAGAATATCACCAAAATAACACCTACACACTACTTAAAATTGTGAGAAAAAAGATTGCTCCAACATTTTAAGAGTTCAAGGCACTCAAGAAGACAATTTCATGTCCGTTACTAGTGTTATGTATCTGAAATGAGGATGGAAGTACTCAAATTCTTAGATAATTTCTGTTCCACCAAATAAGAGCTTTGTATGGACAGCCACTTGGAACCAGATGTCCAATATCTAAATCTGGAAGCTGAATTGTCATATGGGATTAAAATTTTCATGTTCTCAACTTTCCTACAACTTTCTACATTTTATGAAGGAAGGGAGCGACCAGCCAAATCCGAACTGGCACATATATTTCTCATGTTCTCAACTTTCCTACAACTTTCCACATTTTATGAAGGAAGGGAGCGACCAGCCAAATCCGAACTGGCACATATATTTCTCAAAACATAATCACTGTCCCTAGATACTGTTACCAAAAAGCACCATGCATCAGAAAACAAAAAAGAGAGGTAAACCAAACAAAAAACAACTACGCATCTCCATCAAAAAGCATACAAATTAACAAACCTGTTTTGTGCTGATGCTTTGCAGCTTTGAGAGCCGAAGAGCGTGCTTTTGTGTTGCCTCGGTTGATACCTAAGCTTAGGTTGCGATTTAAAGAGGGTCCTTTTGCCGTTCCAAATTTTTGAAAGTTTTGATTATCAACCAGTGCTGCTTTAGCCACACGACTTTCAGGACCAGAAACTCTGCCAAGGTTTGAGACACTAGTTGGAGAAATCATAGAACTATTTTCGCCTTGAGAAACTCGTTTTCTGACATTCTTTTTCCTATCCTTCAAGAGTTGGCTCTCCTTCAGACAAAAGTTGAAAACTCAGTCAGATGACAAAATAGAGACCACATACAGAAAACTATTCAAGATGCTCCTCATAAGCGCAAACATACCAAGGTTTCTACGAACAACTTGAATCTTCGAGGCTTTAAGTGAAGCTTTGATGCTTTGCAGCTGTACTTCTCCAGTAGGGACCACCTGCAGCAGGGAAAAAAGAAGCATGAAAAATGTTATCGTTTTCTAAAATTAAAACCAGCTTCAGTTTCTAGGAGATGGTAACATCCACTAATGGCTCATAGGGGCCACCAACTTTCACTAAAGGGATAAATGGGCATTAACATTCCCTTAGCAAGTCATAAGTCAAGAACTTAGAATGCAAATGCGTGTTTCCAACTGAAGATTAGTTTTATGGTAGAATTTCGAGGATGTAGTGCCTTAAACTTCAGCCTCTGTTATTGTTTTCTTTATTTGTTAATCTACTGTAAAGCATTGTTTCCAATAGAAGGCCCAGAAAGTGTTATATGTCAAGTAGCTGTAATACATTATGCTTGGTACAGGAGCCAGACATGGACCACACGTATCATCATTATGTAAGCTGGCAATTATCCTCAGGTCTATTAGATCCTTATTCACCTTCAGTCCGAAGAACAGCATTTTCTAGATTGAGCAACCGATAGAAATTTAGCTCTATAAAGAAACATAATCCATGTACAAAATTAAACTTAGATATCCAAAAACAGGCAAATCACAAGATTACAATATCAAACAAAAATAAATTTTGAAAAAAGTGACAGTACCATCTAAGCATTGCAGCATTAGTTTCTTTGCAGTTTCTGGCATCAAGGCAAAGATCTGGGCCAAGCAATTTGTTCATGCGTCTCACAAGACGATAATAATAGTGCCTGACCTGGAATCCCAAAAAAAAAAAAAAATACTAATAAGAGACCTTACATTCTTAAGAGTCGCACTTTAAGAACTCAATCATTTAGCAGTTAGTTTACCTGATCTTTGTTTTTACTCTGAACTCGACAAGTGATTTTTTCAAAATTCTGTATCAATAGACAATAATACCAAATAATATTAGAAAATTGTGGCAGACGTATCACAAGAGCAGTTCATAGCATCAACAACACATAAATGGTATAGAATAATATATTGCCTTTCCAACTTGCCGAAGAGCAGAAAAGAAGCTTTCTTCCTCTTGATGGGTCCAAGCAGCCCATTGACGAGTTGGTTTTTTCACTGCATCAGACAGTAAAATCTTGTTAAACTCAATGCATAAAAAATACCTATAAGGATGTAGCAGAAAGGAGATGCTAGAGACACCAGAAGCATTATTAATCAGTTAAAAAACAGACAGAACCAATCATAAAATATAATGAAGAGAGACAATCAACTATCCAAATTACATAAACAAAATAATTCCACAGAAAAGTCAAACAACAGGACAAACCAAAAACAACTAAAAGAATATAATGGCATGGCTAGATGAAGATTATAAAAATTAGTAAGAGGAATATTTTAAAGCTTTAAATGAAAAAAAAGGTTTGCGAACATTAAGGACTCTAGTGAGCATAAAAGGCAGAAATTAACGAACCTTTATTCTTTGCAGCATCATTGTCTTGCGACAAGAGGGTTAAACCAGAACCTCCCTCTCCATTTAGATGATTCTCAGGGCGGAGACCTGCAATCTGATCTAAAGAGACCTGCAACTCCATTGCCATACCAGAGTCATCAAGGGAACATCTAACTGCTGTTGTCTCTCATCTGCAAAACCAGAGATGTTAGTAACTCTGACATGTGCTTTCGGAGTAAAACCTACAGAAAATATAGCAGAACAGGAAGGACTAGAAATCCTCCAAATACATAAGAGCAAATAAAGTAAAGGAGCCTCAAGCTGTATATCAAGATAGCATTCACAAATGAAACCCAACTTTCTCCATAGATGGATACGCAGAGAAACGAAACGAAAAACCATCATTTTCACACTCATGCATAGAACTGATCCTGACAGACTCAACTAGCCAATATCTATAATTCAGCTCCACAAGCTAATATTTGTTACAAAATAATACGCAAACGATGGTACAGGCAGCATAAATGTGCACAAACAGATGCAGTGCTCAGAACTAATTAATTAACATACAATTAATTAGTTCTCACACCGTATTATCTAAACACTCTTGCAAAATAAATCGGAGGGCCTAAATTTACATTGTTAATGCCTTAACCATTATTTAAGGTAAAACCATAATAGACTCATTCAACTATCAGATTCCAGCAGAAGAGAAGCCACACAAAGAGTGCAAGAACTATAACACAGTCATAGCAAACATCTGCAGCTGATAACCCACAGAAACAGGTCCCAATGAATAGCAAAATTTTGAAACAAGACCAATCAAGCCTTTTGATTGAAGACCAATTTCTTTCCGTTTGAAGACCATTATTAGCCCACTCGAAATACGAACTGGTGTACATGAACAAAGTTCGTGGTAATGCAATCCCCTATACATAATGCGATGAAAAAAACTGTATTTCAAAATCTAATTAGGTGTAATTCCAACTCAATAATTGAACTTTGATCCAAATTTAAGTTCCTGAATCTGAAAGCCAACAAATTCAAATTTCAAATATTGCAGAGGATTAAGAATTTTTTTTTTTTTAATTTTTTTAAAAAATGACGATTTCACGATACTCACGACATACGTAGTCCATTACTTCATCGAGTTGCAGATGCAGCAGAACCAACCTAATTTCAAAAGTATGAATAAATACGAAGAAAACTTACCTGTAAACCGAAGTTATAAAGCCAAATTGGAGCTCAATTATGATAGCTTGCAGCACGGAGTATGACCGAAGACGATGCAGAACAATGGAAATTGGGAAATTAGGGCAAAAATTGGGGAAGAACGTGGAGAAAATTAGGGGGAAATTAAGGGTACGTTTGGGATTAAAGGAATTTGTTTGAAAAGCAATAGACTCCGTATTTTCTTACGTGTAGTTTGCCGAAAGACAAAGAAAGAACCTACGTCAATAAACGAAATAAATTCAGATTATTCTAATTTTCCCTATTTCTTCCCGTCCATAAACGAAAAAAATACTCTTATCTTTTTCTTCTTTTTTTTTGACAAAAGTACTCTATCTCAACAAATAGTTGTACCCAAAAAAAAATTAAGTACTGCTTTTATTATAATGTTATGTAATTTCAATTCCGGGACCGAAAATTATAAAGAACCATTACAGTTTTTTTTTTTTTTGGTGGATTTGACAGAAAGATCAAATGAACTAAAATACTACATTTGTCTTGAAATGATTGTTCAATTTGAGATTTAACGTTTAGTATAAATTGTATTAAAAATAAAATTATAAATTAGATAATCATTTTTGTATAAATAGAATAGTTATTACTGAATTATAGATAATCACCAAACTATAACTTCTATGGTTTCGCCACCAATCTATACGTAACAAAGTGATTTTGTCACACACAGAGGATAAACGTGAATTGTAAGAAGTTACAAAGATTAAGGTTTGCATTGATCAAATTTTGACCTATTTATTTGACGTTGTAGCTAGTGACAAAAGTGCTCATCACTAATGTGCAACGTATTGCACATTTCATAATCTAAGAATTTAAATGAATTGTTTGTACCTTTTATTTAATGTCACACGTTCTTTATTGTTAACTTGTGGAGGTTTATGAAAAGAGAGCTATTGAGTTTTACAGAACTTAAACATACATATTGATAGAATGAACAAAATGTGACACTTCAAAATTGTTTTTCTTAGTCAAAAGATAAGTCAACCAGAGAGAGAGCTCAAGTCATGCCAAATATTCAGAGTTTAGTGCAACTAAATAATTTCTATCGTCTTAATTATAAGACACAAATTAACGCTAAAATTTATTTAAATTTTTTATCTTATAATGAGGATCAGAGAAAATAATATATTCATTTCTAAAAGATGGGACTTTCTTCTCATCCAAAAATACGGCTAAAAGGGACGAATTGAAACAGCATCATTAAGGGCCGAGAAAAAAAAAATATCAAAGAGAGTTCTTGGACTAATAAACATAAAAATTGGATAATCATATTTAGACTAATCCCTTTTACCCTATTAAAGCAGAAGACATGAAACTTATGTGGCAACTAAGTATGCATCTTTTTTGGCTCCAATGCACCATATTTCAGATTTCAGGAGTCTTTTTGCCACGTGTAAGTCTCTTTTAATTAGAAGTTATATAATTTTTTTTTTAAAAAAAAATACATGTTTTACTACAAATAAGGATCAGTTACATTTCAAACGAATGGATATATTAATTCAAATTCAAATGTCCAATTGTATAGTTTTGTAGGCTTAATATAAACAAAAAATAAAAATACTTAAATCCAGCAATTAAGAATAATGTATTATAAACTAATTATTTATTATTCCCTTATAATGTCTTATATTTTTTTTAAGCCCCAAATCATAGCATAAATGATATATACACCAAATTAATTCCTCAAAAAATAGTAATTCAATTAGATTTTAATAAAATAGTAATTTAGAAGGGGCGCCCGGGCATCTGCTTGGGCCAAACATCTAGTAAAATATTACATCCGTTCCAAATTAATTGTCGTATTTATATTTTCATTTTTCGTACAATAGTAATAAAAATAAAAATGCTTAGGCGACAATCATTTCTTTTTTTTTCTAACTTTCATTAAATTTGTTAGAAAATGACAGGACAATCATTTCAAGACGAAAAAAATAACAAATAGATTATTGGATCAAAATCTCATACAATTAATAAAACTAAATTAAAACTTACATACCTCTCCTCTTCACATACTCTCAAGCGGACTGTTGCTTGTTATTTTCCTGTGTAAAATCACGTTCACTATTAAAAAAAAACACAGAAGGAATTTTCCTTTTGACTATTTTTTCAGAATTTTCAATATTTCAGCATTTTGATCATCTTTCATCATTAAGACGCAATCTCTTTTCTTTCTTAAAAAAAAAAATTAGTGACCTTTTTTTTCTAATTAAAATTTTCAGTTAAAGAATAGAGAAGGCTTAAAATGCATATGAATTTAAAAATATAGAGGACTTAAAGAAAAAAATTTCAAATATATCAAACACCTTCAGTTTCGAGCTTCGGCGTTCTGCTTTTCTCCACCGCAGCGCCGGCGGCGGCGGAGCAGGTGACTTTCTCTGTTCCTCCATCAGCGGCATAGGGCGCATCGGGAAATCACCGAATCAGTCGGGAATCATGTTGATCACGACATGAAGAAGAAGAGCTTTTTGATTATGGTGTTGTTTCTTCAACCAATTTGCCCCAGATTCTCAAATCATAATCATCATTGCCTTTATCGGATACTCTGGCTAGTGGCTACCACCGATCCTCAACTTGGAGCTCTTCCACTTCGATCCCAAATCGGCTTTTGTTCTACTGCTTCAACTGCCAGTGGTAAGAATTCCAATTTGACACCGAATAAATCAGGCACAACGTGTTTGAGGAATGGTATATGTAAAATGGTTCAGATGATGCCTCTTCCAGCTGTGATTGATTTCAATAAACTTCTTACTGTTTTGGGCTTCATCCCAATTAATGAGATTATCATGACTTTGATCACAATAAATGTTACCATCCGGAGAGCCGAGTCGAGTAGATTTGGGTTGCTCTGTTTTAGGAGCAATGACCAAGCGCTCACAATCTTTTTAGCAATTTACAAAGGAAGAAGCTATTGAACACCTTAGAGTCATGGAAAACAGAGGAGATACTAAGTAAGAACCCAATATCATATTATACATTGCTCTTATTCATGCCATATGCAAGGATAATAGTATGAAGGAACAAGCGATTGGTCTCTTTCGCGAGATGGTTCAGAAAGGCATTAAACCAAATGTTGCCACTTATACTCGCCTATTCTACCATCTTATTAATTTTGGATAAATTTTGTGAGATCAAACAGTTACTAATACAGATGGAGGGTTATGGTTACTACATATGAATTTTTTTTTCCAAGGGGATGAAACGAGGCTCATTAGCACCTGATGTTTACACAGATTGTACTTCGTGATGGTTTGTGCACGAATGAAAATGTTGATGAAGCTGTAATAATTCTATTCATGTTTTTATGAGGAACATTGTAGTGAAGTACTCCCTCCGTCCTATAATTATTGTTCAGTTTAAGTTTTCGTTTATAGTTAAAATTGTATTAAAAGTGAAATCTCAAAGTGGACAATAATTTTGGGACGGAGGGAGTAGTAACATGGCAGTTAAAAATCCAGATGTTACAACTTACAACCATTTTAATGTTGATAGATACACTATTGTGGAATCAGAAACTCCCAGTAATCAATTATTGTGGAATCAGGAAAATCATGTTCAAAACGTGGAAAAGAAGAGCTTTTTGGCCATGGTGTTGTTGCTTCGACGATCACTTTTTGCCTCAAATTCTCAAATCATTGTCATGTTCGTCTTCGGATATTCCGGCAACCTCTACTACTACTCCTCATCTTAGAGCTCTTCCAATTCATTCTCATCCTCCAAATCCATATCCCAATGTCACCTTCCGATTTCATTCCTCTGCTTCGACTGCGGCATGGTAAGAAATCTAATTTGAAACTTAATAAATCTGACCCGGGTTGTTTGATTTTGGGGGATGAATTAGGCGAATTCAGCAACATTTTTGGTCAAGATTTTGGGATTTACAAGATAATCCAGATGATCAGACCTCTCCCCGCGTATGTGATTGATTATAATGGACTTTACACGGATCGGGGCATTCCCATTAAATGCGGTTTTCATGTCTCTGATCATTAACTGTTACCCCGTGGAGAGTCGAGTAGATTTATGGTGCTCTGTTTTAGGAACAATGATCAAGCGCGAAATCGTGTCTAATGTCTAAATTTTTTAGCACCTTACTGAGGGCACTCTTTCGACAACACCGGAGCCACAAGACTTGTTCGATAAAATCATGCATGAAATGATGAAAAGTTGTGGGAGCCAGAGGAGGTAGTGTTTGGGATTGTGATTGACGGGTTCTGTAAGGCCGGAAACATCGATTGGAGTCCTCAGAGTCATGGAAAACAGAGAAAATACTAAACCCAATCTCCTCTCAGTTGGCTGCATTTCCTCTGTACATTGTTTTATGTACTTATTTGTAGGGGTGAAGAATGATGCAGAATTAGCCGCATAGTCGTAGAAAATTCAAGGCCCGGAATTAATCAATATAGCGATTTTCAATTGATGATCTTGTTCATTTATTTATGATAAACTTTGTGGTGCTCTAATCTGAACAAAACAACGATTTGATAAAAACTGTGGTAATTATTTTGTAGAGAAACAGAGATATAAGTGATACTGTTTAGTTAAACCATAGGAGAATTTAAGACGGCACACCTATGTTACCTGGATTAGTTAAACCATAGGAGAATTTAAGACGGCACACCTATGTTACCTGGACTCGGATACAGCCATACATGTGTCGTATCTGGTGTGGGGATCTGAGTGTCCAACTCGTCAATATTTTAAAAATCTAGGACATTTTAGGCTAAAATATCACACCGGACACTCGTACCCACACCAATGTCGACACAACACGACACGGGTATTCTCCCCAAATAGAAGAGTCCGGGTAACATAGCGGCACGCTATTACACAACAGATGATCGTCACTAATCTACTCCTTCCCCGTCCACTAGTCTATATTAGTCACATTGTTGTACATTTTCCATCACATTTTACTACAAGTCCAATAAAAATGGACTAGTGAAATTGGCCGGAAAAGGTAGTTAAGTGATGTCTTGAGTTGTGGTATCACTGCCATTAAATGCAAATCATTCGGGCAAAGATCTAATGCGACCACTGTGAACATTACATCTGAGTGTGGCAATAAAACCAGCTAGCATTTCGTTTGCAAGCAGATGATGAAACCCTACCACAACGCAGAGATGGATGAATGAATCTGATCGCCTGTAGGGGAGTTGGAAAGCTTTTCGAACGCGATCGGAGATGTTGATTTTGTACCATCACTTTGAACCCTTTAAGATAAAGGTTTGTAGTCCCCAGATGTTTCCACTTGATCCTGGCATGGTGGTATTCATCACAATGACATTCCCGATAACTGCTAACTGTCTACGATATCAAAGCTTGAAACAAACCATAACCCTAAAGGAGCAGCTTCGAAACCAAATAGCTATCTCCGTCTTAGACATATAGAACAAGAGTACTATGTATGACACTAAGGACTCATTCTCAATGAAAATTGAAACTGAAGACTAGAACATCGTGAATCTAGCAGAAACGTTGGCACCAAAGCAAAGGCACAATTTCGAAGAAAACACACACACACACACACATACATTTGAAGAGCATTGGTTTGCTCTCAAATAGTAAATGCTGATTCTTTTGAAGAAACAAACTATATGATACTCCATTCAGGGGAGAAAAAATTACATGACCTTGACTGTTGACATTATTTGTTGACCAGAAAAACATCCTTACAACAAGGGAGGACCATGACATAATTAAATTCATGCACTTCTGAAATCTAATTTCTATAAGCACACGGAATTGGATTTATGTGGTTTAGAGTATCTTCGATCATCTAAGACACAGTCAGACGGATACGGGGCTTACATTGCTCGCCAGAGTTCCAGCGCCAGCAGCTTTCTGATCTAGATGAAGACCATGACAGGGCAATCCATTCTTGTCAACGTGCTTATCTTGTTTGTAAATAATAAGCGCGACGGAAGGCTCTGCAGCTAAGCGCTTGACAATGAAGTGGCAATGGCAGCCTCTCTCGGTCCAGGACGGACAATACCTCCTTCTCGGCTGTTCCACAGGACCAAAGGAGCACCAATATCTGAAAATGCAACATAATTACCTCTTGTTATTGCACAAAAGGCCGAAGAATTACGAATATTTTATTTCAGGATGAGTTTTATAATTCACTTAAACTCGCAAAGCGTATTCGAGAATTCCACTTCCATCACATTTAGGCCTGCAAGGCTGCTTTCTCCTGGCTTCAATATGAAATGTAGTTGGACAATCTTCATTGGCAGATTCACCCCTAACAAAATCATCCAGACCGGCGAATGGAATGAAGCAAACTCTATCAATCCCGCCATGCCAACCTTCCACAGTCGACCACGCTAGATCTTTGGAAGAAAATTCCAAACCCGGAGGACTTTGGACAGGAAGGCACAGATTCTTGTCCAATCCAGCCATCTGAAACCGCATAAATTGTATGTAAAATTTTCACAATGTTACAGAACTAACATTAACAATGGTAAAACAAAACCAAAAGGACCAACTGTTACATTGGTTACTGAATTCATCGATTTTCCTCACATTAAGCTAATATCATAGATTACAATAGCAAGATTTTGAAGAGGAAAAAAAAAAAACCAATTCATCAAAAGCTCCAATATACACAAAAACAATCCTTTCCATCAATTTGATTTCCAGGAAGACAATTGCTTTTGACACCAAATATTTTCGGCTAATTAATAACACAATAATTAACTGAGTAAGTTATTGTAAGAGACAGAAACACATTGGCTGCCCGTGCAGGCAATAATACTAAGATCTTCCAGCCTGAAACATTGTTGCCTTCACAACCCAACAGAGTTTCCTAAAAATCTAAGCTTCAACTTTGAAAATTTATAGAAGATGGATTAATCAGTTGGACGAGCTATTACATCGGAGAACCCACATCAGGGACTTAAGAAAAAGAGCAAATTTCTTTATAAATTTCCTCAAACAGAAGCAGATGACTTAGAATAGGAAAATTGTATTGGATTCATAATATGTTGTGCACAATATACAGACTATATATAGACAATAACAAACCCTATAATAGGAAATATACTAAATATTACAATACGCCCCCGCAAACTCACGGCGGAGAGAGAGAAGCCGAAATTTGTCCCGAAATCGAAAGAATAACTCTTTGGACAAGGGTTTTGTCAGAATATCAGCAAGCTGATCAGCAGCAGAGATAGAATTGACCGAAACAAACTTACGCCGAACATGATCTCGAACAAAGTGAAAATCAACCTCAACATGACGGGCATGGAACACAGGATTGACAGCAGAGAAAACTGCACTACTGTTGTCACACCAAATAGAGGGAGGGCGATTTAAAGAAACACCTAACTCGGACAACAGATGACACACCCAATGCAGTTCAACACAGACATTAGCAACCGCACGAAACTCAGCCTCAGTAGACGAGCGAGCCACAGTGGGCTGCTTCCTAGATGCCCAGGCAATGAGATTAGGTCCCAAATAAATGAGAAAACCAGTAGTAGAACGACGATCATCCGGACAACCAGCCCAGTCAGCATCACTAAACGCAGTAAGAGTACCCAAATCAGAGGATGCGTAACTAAACAAATCAATGGTACCACGAAGATAGCGAAGAACCCGTTTGAGAGCCTGAAAATGAGAAGTGCGAGGCTGATGCATGAACTGAAAAAGCTTATTAACCGCAAAGGAGATATCTGGACGAGTGAGAGTGGTATACTGCAGACTGCCACACAACCGACGATAAGTAGTCGCATCATCAGGAGACAACAGAGTACCATCCAAATGGGACAACACAACATTAGCCTGCAAAGGAGTGGAAACAGGTTTGCAAGTATGCATATTTGCAAGTCGTAGCAAATCAGTGACATACTTGCGCTGAGAGAGAAGCAAACCCTTGGAAGTACGACAAACCTCAACTCCAAGAAAGTAACTCAACGGACCTAAATCCCGAAGAGAAAACTCCTTAGCAAGACAAGAGATAAAATGCTGGACCAAACCAGAAGTTTTTGCCTGTAAGAATAATGTCATCCACATAGACCAGCAAAAAACACAACTGCGACCCATGTCGATAGACAAAAAGAGACGGATCACAACGAGACTCCACAAAACCCAAGGTAAGTAGAAATGCTGCCAGCCGAGAATACCAGGCCCGAGGAGCTTGCTTAAGACCATACAAGGACTTATGCAGTTTACACACATAATGAGGGCGCACCGGATCAATAAACCCCTGTGGCTGAACCATATACACGGTCTCACTGAGAACACCATTAAGAAAGGCATTACTGACATCAAGCTGAGAAATCGACCATCCACGAGCCAGGGCAACAGTCAACACGGAACGAATGGTGACCGGCTTAACAACCGGACTAAAAGTGTCAGTGTAATCAACCCCAAAAGACTGAGTAAAACCTCGAGCCACCAACCGAGACTTATACCGCTCAATAGAGCCATCAGCATGAGTTTTAATCTTATAGAGCCATCGATTGCCGACAACATTGCCTGAGGAAGGAGGGGGAACTAAAGTCCATGTGTTATTTTTGAGGAGGGCGGAAATTTCATCCTTCATGGCATTCTGCCACTGAGGAAGAGATTTGGCTTGGGTGAAGGATGTAAGAGCAGTAGACAAGGCTGGGGAAACAGAGGTAAGATGAGCCGAGGGATCAAAGATTTTCTTAGGCTTGGGTTGTGGACGAAGTGTCATTGAGTGCTGACGGGAAGAAGGAGGAGGAGGTGGCGGCGGAGGACTGCAATCAGATGATGAAGGGCTGGATGCAGGAGATCTAGCTAAAGGTGATGAGTCGGGAGGGATAGGAGGAGACGAAAGAACTGGTGTACTAGAAGAAGACGAAGAGGACGCAGAAGACGACGCAAGTATACCAGGAGAACTGGTTACACGCAACCAAGGGGTAGCAGAAGACTCCAGCAGCGAAGAAGGAGAACTAGAAATAGGAAGTTTAAAGGGAAAGAGTTTCTCATCAAACTCAACGTGACGAGCAACATAAAGACGGTTATTCACCACATCAAAACAGCGATAACCAAGATGAGATGGAGAATATCCAAGAAAGACACACTGAGTAGAACGAAAGGAGAATTTATGTTTATTATAAGGGCGAAGAAGAGGATAGACACGCAACCAAAGACACGAAGAAAAGTATAATCAGGTGGCTGGTGATATAGTGTAGTGAAGGGTAGGTGACCTTGAAGAGGTTTACTAGGGTGGCGATTAATCAAAAGCACAGCAGTTTCAAAAGCAAACTCCCAAAACCGAAAAGGGGTACAGGAATGGCCAAGGAGAGCAAGTCCAATGTCGACAATGTGACGAATTTTGCGTTCAGCAGTGCCATTCTGCTCATGAGTGTGTGGGCACGCTAAACGATGAACAATACCAACATCCTTAAAGAAAGAATTGAGAGAACGAAATTCACCACCCCAATCGGAGTTAACACTTTTAATGGTAGAGCCAAATTGGTTTTCTACGAGAGCTTTGAATTGCTTGAAAACATGGACAACATCACTTTTATACTTAATTGGATAAATCCATGTGAATAAAGAGAAGTCATCAATAAAAAGCACAAAGTAGCGATAACCATTGAATGACAAAATAGGAGCATGACCCCAAACATCAGTGTGAATTAAATCAAGAGGTTTAGAGCTACGATGAAATGTAGAAGGTAAACTGACCCTATGTAACTTCCCTATACAACACGCCTCACATTTATCAGTGGACGTGGACACAAAGGAGTAAGGAAGTTGAAACTGCCTAACCAAAGTACGAAGAGTGACATTATTAGGGTGCCCTAAACGGGCATGCCACTGACCTAAAGAGACAAGATAAGCTGCTGGAGACAAGGAACCACGAGCAGGAAGATCTAAGCGATAGAGACCATTATCAGTCCGACCGAGTTCCTTGGTTGAAAGATCCTTAACACAACAAGAGTCAGAATAAAATTCAAAGAAACAGTGATTATCACGGGTAAACTTTTGAACAGATAACAGAGGTTTAGTAAGAGAAGGAGCATGCAAGACACGATTTAAATAAAGAGAACGAGAAAACGATGGCAAAACAGATTGACCAACATGCTGAATAGGTAAAGCATCTCCATTACCAACTAAAATATGATCCGTACCAGTATAATCATTGGAGATACTGAGAGAGGACAAATCTGGCGTGACATGATCGGTAGCCCCAGTGTCCGGATGCCAGGGAGTGACAGAAGGTGCATACTGCGCCATATGGGCTTGAGGAGACATAGTCGCCTCCGGGTAAGACGGAAGAGGCAACAAACCAGCTGAAGGCGGTGCAGGGGAACCTGCCTGGGCATAAGCAGCCGACCGAACGGCAAGGGGTCGAGGAACAAAATTAGTATCAAAACGACGTCGACAAGTGGCGGCCGTGTGATTCAAGATGCCGCAAAGCTGACACGTCTCACCCGGAGCGGGAGGGGTGTAACCACGCCGACCACCACCACGACCAGAAACCTGATTGCACCGGCCGCCGCGTTGCGAGCGACTGGCACGAGAGGATTGAGGCGGCGTAGGAGAAGGTGGCGACTGCACAAGCATGGTTGTGGGCTGAAGGACCGGCTGTTGGGCGTGAAGAAGCACCTCATATGAAACTAACTGTCCAAGGAGATCTTGATAGGAGGGGGGTTCGGATCGCTGTTGCAGAGCTCCGATGATGCCATTGAATTCGGCACCAAGCTTGCGGAAGATTATGGCATTAAACTCCGCAGGAGATATGCGATGGCCGGCAAGCTGCAGTGTATCGGCGATACCCTTCGCTTTGGAGAGGAGAGCCGTGACCGACAAGTCACCTTTTTGCAAGCTGTGGAGCTCCATAACAAGCTGGGTCTGTTGAGCATAAGAAAGTGCCGAAACCCTGCTGAAGAGCTGTCCATGCAGCCTCCGATGTTGTGCAGCCCTGGAGAACGGAAAAAAATCTCTTCAGCAACGGAAGAAAGAATCCAAGAGAGGACCAACTGATCCTTTTGCTGCCAGATATCAAACTCAGGATTGAGTTGGGGCACGGCACCACTAACGGAAGGAAGAAAACGTGGCGGTGCAGGTTCGGTGCCGTCGACAATACTGGAAACACGAAACATAGTCAATAAAGGAGTAAACTGAAGACGCCAAGACGAATAGTTGGCCCGCGATTGCAGCTTCACAGTAAAGGAATGATTGAGAGATTGCATACTAGGTTGAAGAATTGATACTGATGTCTGTGAAGAAGATACCGGTGACCGAAGATGAGTAGCCTGGTCGGCGGATGAAAGGTCGGTGATAGTCATCGTTGAAAGTAAGCAAACAAAACGGAATTCTTTATGATTTTTTTTTTTTTGGTTTTTTTTTTTCTTTTTTTTTTTTTTTTTTGTTGGTTTTATTAGAAAGCCGCACCAATCACCGAGAACAAACGAGCGGCGGGGGCAGGGAGGGTTGGATGGGAGAAGGCGACGACGCCGGCGGCAGCAGCGGTGGAAGACAGAGGAAGAAGCACCGACGGCGCCGACGACGAACCGGCAGCAGCAAAACGCCGGCAGCAGCAACGGAGATCAACGGCAGCAACAGGAGAGAACAATCAACAGCAGCAACAATCGGCCAAAAAAATGGAGATGATGGAGAGGAAGCGCCGGCGATGATGGCGACAAACAAGCTTCCGACCAAAAAAACCAATCGGCCAAAAAAGACAAGCGACAGAAAACAGCGGCAGCTCGACGAAGACAACCGGCGGCAGCAGCAGCACACTACGGCGAAGACGACCGGCGGCGATGCTGAGCTTGGTCGTCGGCGAAGGGCAGAAGAAAGAAGCCGACTACGGCGGAGGAGGTGTGCACGGCCGATAAAGAAGGAGTCGGCGGGGGAGAGAAAAGAGAGAGGAGAAAAAAAATTGGTTTTGTTAAACCTAGCTCGATACCAACTTAGAATAGGGAAATTGTATTGGATTCATAATATGTTGTGCACAATATACAGACTATATATAGACAATAACAAACCCTATAATAGGAAATATACTAAATATTACAATAAGATGGATCCGGAAATTAACCTGTAGTAGAAAGTTCAAAGTCAAGAGACCTGATGGAGTGAGGCAACGAAGAAGAAGTTTGGCGGCTGGCTGAATCAGGGGAGCTCTGAACTTTTTTTTTTTTTTTTTTAATATTTTTTTCGGGTTTTCCTGAACTAGATTTCAGGGAAAAGTGGTGTGTATTTGAGGAAATCAAATTCTATTTATTACTATTATAAACCTACGGGAGTTGAGTTAATTTGAGTACCAAAAAAAAATTTTATCTAATAATATTAAGAGTGATAAATATAAGAATTTTGTATTAAAAATAAATGAAAATTAATTAAATTTTGTATCAGGAATATATTCATAACCGGACCATGGCCAATTACGATTGTTAACACATGCGCGACTGATGCTCGTGTTTATTTCTTGTAGGTCTGGCTCTTGAAGGTCCAAATATAGGCCCACATGTGGTTCCATCTTAAAATCAATTGGTGATAAGGGGAGTAGCACATATGATTATATATTGGTTTTAAGAGTCTTCAAATATCCATATGGGACAAGATTATATTCTCAACACCCCCTTCTCAAGCTCGAAGGGGTTAGACAAATCGGATAAACTACCAGATCAGTAAAGACCCAGATATAACTGGGTAAGTAGAAATAGAAATAGAAGCCCAAATTTGTGTAAGTAGAAGAAATAGAAATAAAAGGCCCAAATTTGGGTAAGTAGAAGTAGAAGGCCTAAACGGGTAAGTAAACCAGACCCCGGATATAATTGCCGGACCAGTCAAAACCCGTCCCACAAGTCACACAGGTCCGCAGATAAAACCCGCCATGATACCATCTTGAAGGCTCAAACATAAACCCACATGTGGTTTCACCTTAAAACCAATTAGTGATAAGTAAAGTAGCACATACAGTTATATATTGATTTCAAGAGTCTTCAACTATTCATGTGGGATAAGGTTATATTCTCAACACTGGTGCTGGGTGTTTTTTTTTTTTAAATTTAATACTTTTGGAATTTTTTCAAGTAACAATTAGAAGCACTGAGGGATGATTTCGAATAACCAGCCTGAGTAACTTCATTGATCTAGTGACTATAAAGATATTAAATTCCTGAGTTTTGGTGGAGTAGATTGTGATGATGTTAGATTTAGGTTTAGGCTTCCCTGTTGTTCCTTGATGGAGTACAATTTGCCTTTTTAGTGAGCAATAATTTTTATGTGTCCATCAAGAATGATGGATCAAGTTGTGTATCATTGTATCTAAGCTCCAATAAAAAATAAATAAATAAAACCTAAAAATAATCAACAATCATAATTATATTCCACATCATGTTAAGATATATAATCTGTCCCAGATCGTCGCCGTAAATAGAAGTGACTCAATATATAAGTTCCAAAAGTCACCCCACTCATTGCCAATTGGTTTTGAGATGGGAGCCCAAAGTACTTGATATGGTATAAGAGCGTGCTGGGCCTGTGGTGGAGTTTTAGGCCGAAGGTGGCCTCTGGTGATTTTATATTAACCCATTTGAGCATTGATTTATGGGTTTCTTGTGGACCGATCCAGCGGTATAACTGGTTTTTCTCCCATTTGAGCGTTACTCGTGGTCTTGTTGTGAACCGATCCAGCGGTATAACTGCCTTTTCTCCCACTTGAGCGTTGACTCGTGGGCTATTATGTTCTTGTCCTGATCCAAGTCTATGAGCGTTGACTCGTGGGCTATTCTGTTCTTGTCCTGATCCAAGTCTATCAGCGTTGACTCGTGGGCTATTCTGTTCTTGTTCTGATCCAAGTCCATTGGACAAAAAAAGTTCAAAGACATAATCTGTCCTACAACGTCACCGTGAAAAGAAGTGACTCAGTATATAAATTCCAAAGGTCACCTCACTCATTGCCAATTGGTTTTGAGATGAGAGACCAAAATACTTATATACTTTGACGCAATATATAAAGATGTACTACCTCTATTCTTAAAAAGAAGAAAATAGTTCACAAAGATTTTTATATTTGTATTAATAAAGTAATTCAATATGGAATACTCCCTCCGTCCTATAATTATTGTCCAGTTTTACTAAAATGAAAGATTTTATTTCTGGTCAAACTTAACTATATTTTACCTTAAACAACCGGATATATCCCTACATAAGTAATTGTTTAACCACTAAGATTTTATGGATAATGTTTTTATTAAGGACAAATGTGTAACTTGATCCATAAAAAGTCAAATTGGACAATAATTTTGGGATAAAAGTTTTTGGGCAAAGTGGACAATAATTATGGGACGGAGGGAGTAATTTTTTGGGACAAACAAGTATTTCAATGAAAATGTATAAGTAAGAAATTCCTGTGACATAGCAATCTTCAAAAGGGGAACACGAGTATCGTTTTTCGTTATTCCATTTTTCATGATTCTTACTACTAGTCCATGTGACACCTTTTTATTCCTTCACCATCATTTGGGATAGAGAAACGACTACTGTATTAATGAGTTGTTTACGAGAAAATATTCTACGGAGCGGCTGTACCACATCAGCACTATGATGTGGTGCAACAAACCAATCCTGAGATGACACATGTCTTATTTTATCAAAAGCAAAAATCTTAATCCTGATTTTTCCTTAATCTCTGTCCCAAATCTGGCCGTCCATAATAATCGATCCCACTTTTCTAGGATTCACGTTCTTGCTCCAACCATTCACGCGGCGGAGAAGGACTTGCTATGACGAAGAAAGATGAAGGAAAACGAACCCACATGTTAGTTCCTTTTGTTCTGCAATTTGTTTAGGTTTTTTCAATCCAGAGACTCTTTCAGTTTTTATTTTATCTTATTATTTTAAAATAATACTAATGGCATCTTCAAACATGAAAGAAAATTTCCAGTATGAACCAAGTAAGAAGCACTTTATTATTGAATTAATGATTTTTTTTCCTCCCGGGATATAACTAATGATTCTTTTAAATTTCAATGGGGGGAATTATTAGTCTGCTATTGTTAAGATTTAAGAGAGGAAGTGAGGCCATTTTGGAATTTAAAGCAAAAGAAGAAGCAACTAAAGATGGTGATTGAGGGTCGATGGATGAAGGAGAGGATAGAAAGATGCGTGTATCTAGCTTTTGTGAAGTCAAGATGATTTTTTTGAAGTTACTCCGCAAAATGAAGCAAAAAATCCAGATCTATCATTATATATCGGGAAAGCAAAAAATCCAAGTGATCTAATTTGCTTTGGCCATGATGAAAACAAAATTTGTAGATTGCACAACAATTCCAAAAAAAGAATTCTAGATGAAAAATATATTGGACTTCGATTATTTTAGAAGTTTTCATCGGCCTCTGAAAACGCCCGTGAACCGTAAGAACAGAGAAAGATGTCTGGGATCGGCAGTTACGGACGGCCGGACTTAGGGGCAGAGGTTAGCTAAGGAAAAATCAGAATTAAGATTTTTTGCTTTTAATAAAGTAGGGCATGTGTCATTACGGGATTGGTTTGCTGCACCACATCATGGTGCAGCTGCTTCACGGAATATTTTCTCGTTGTTTACACCATCATTTGGGATGGAGAAACGACCATGTGACACCTGTTTGTTTACTTTTTTGGATGGTTTTTTTCAGATTATTTTAATAGTAATTGTTCTATTTTAGTATATTTTTTTTTACATTTCTAATAGACTAAATATCTTAAAAAAAAACTAAAAAATGAAACAAACATATCGAATTACTTGTTGGAATACTAAAAGTAGATCGACGCAATCTATCTTGGATTACCTTGATATACAAACTCTTTTGGACTTTTATATATCGTTCTGTTCATGAGATAAAAAAACTAAGTAGTAGTATACGGTAAATCATCATATGTAACTGCGGAACAAATTGGAGTGCGAGCATTTGCAATCTGAGTTTAGAATCCCTCTTTATCATCTTGAGTAAGGTAAACTATCTAGTTTATTTTTCGTTTTAAGATGAAATCAACAGTTTTGGTTGAGATGAAATCAAGAATTAACGGTTTTTGTATGTGAATTTCAGCATTTATTTGGGATTTAAACCCGATGGCTACAGATGGAATTGTTATGTTGGCTTCTTGGTTAATTATGCTGGCAACTTTAATGGTACTTCAAACTACTAATGTGAATGCTTCACGGGTGGAGGAGTTATGCAATTTAGAACCCGGGGACAACTTTCTCTTCTGCGTAGAATGCTTAAAAGGAAAAGGTCATCATAATAGTACCCACCATATCCAAGGGGAAACTCAGGACCAAAAGTTTGGACGGAAATCCATAGATTGTGCTCGTCGTTCGACGGTGATTGCTCAAGATGCCATGGAAGCATTGTCGAACAATACCGGGGGAAAACTGCAGGATGCGGCGAGATTTTGCTCGTCCAAACTCGGGGTCGTGGTGAGCTGGTTTGAGTTGGCGCTGACGTGGTGGTCGTATAAACGTAAATCCGACACGTTGAGATGTATCCGGGGTGGACAAGATGAATATCATCAATGCGCCGTGGAAATTTCCGATGAGGAAATACCACCTGCGCTGGACCGAATGCTCGATTGTACTAGAGCACGTAGTGATGTTGCATATACGCTTATCAAATCAATTATAGTTTAGTTAGCTCTGTATTTATGTACCCTAATTGAAATAATAACAAAAAATTAAGAAAGCAAGCAAAATGAGCATCATCGGAATCATCATGCTAGAGCTCGGACTTTTGGTCGGGATTGGGGGCGCAATCGAATTCAAAACCTTCGGATTTTCCACGAAAATTACATACAAAAATTTAAAATTTTTAAGAAAAAAAATATTTTCTCCACGAAGATTGCACATAAAACTAACATTCACAAGGAAAAACTGATTATCGTGTTTGCACCAAGATTGCACTTAACGTTTACAAGAAAAAACTGATTATTGTGTTTGCACCAAGATACGACTATTGAGTCGAACTTAACTGAAGATTTCTGGGGTCCTTTTTAAGTTAATGATGAATATGGAATTACAGTGAAAATCCCACTACACATATTTAACACTAGTAAAACAAAAATAGCTCCTACTAATATTAAGGTATGTATAACTTATTATGTCACATAGGGTGTATAATGAAATAAAGATGCTAACTGCTTAGCTACTCAATTATAACAACAATAAAAACGCTTTATATATTGCAAGAGTTTGAAACTTTAATTTGTTATTACATGCTCACATATCAATAGAATAAAATTCTTGACATGAATTCTCCTACCCAAATTATGGTGACAATAACTATGAGAATAGCGTAAATGAATATAGTAATTTCAACCATATTGCTGAATTCCTTCTGATCCATGAACAATTATTAGGCATTATTTTACAGCAACCACTGCCTGGATTTCAGTCGCAATAGTGGTTCGTTGCCAAACAGGTTTTGACAGACTGTCATTTGCTTCCCACCGCGATTTTATTTTCCCATTTTGCTTTCCTTGGGGCTACAAGCTTGAGAAATAGCACCAAAACAATTATAACTGCGATTACATAATAATCTGGTAGATTAGATTAATTACATAACCTGCTATGTAATTAAACATCCAACAATACCAACCTAATCCTATGAAACTTGAAAGAATTATAGTCCGATGATCAGCTAGAATCAAAGCAGGATCAGCAGCATGATGTGCATTCTGTGACTGGTGATGCTCATCCTGTGTCGATGGATGTGCATCCAGTGATAATAGCGGGAATTCCAGATTCAAACATTCAAACTTTTATATGTATTTGTACTGATATATCCTATTTTATATAGTGCTATAAGCCTGTTAGTAAGGATAGATTAGTCATTTACACTATGGCGGTTACTCAATTCAAACCGCCTAAGCATGTATAAATATAGAATCAGGACACTTAATGGGAGGTGCAGATACATTAAAATCATTTACAGAATTAATTGTGATTTCTCCTTTCTCCCTCTTCATAACCCTAATTCTGCCATTAAGAGCTTGAACTCGCTCATGGTATCAGAGCTGGAGTAATCCGGCCTGACCTGAGTAGAGAATTTTTTTCCTTACATCTTCTGATGCAAAACCGTACCATTTGATTCCAAGAATGGAGTCGTTTGGAGCAGATTCGAATCGCGACACAGAGCTTCGAGCATGTGAGCTTCGAGGAGGAATTGGTCGTACTAGAATCGAAGAATTGGATCAAGAAATCACCAGGGAGCGAAATCTTGATCGTTACATGGAGTTATTCATGGAAGAACAAATGCAGATACATGGATAAGATAATCCAGGCATGTTCTTGGTGAGTAATCCTTTGACAATCACAAATTACTTGATGTGGCGAATTGCTACGGTTACAACTTTGAATGCAAAGTCAAAATTAGGTTTTATTGATGGAACCTGTAAGAAACCGCCGTTGAATTCTGTTGCATATCTTCGATGGTCTAGAGCAAATAGCATGGTTACTTCATGGATTTTGAATTCTATTGATAGCTCTCAAGTTAGTAGTTTCATGTATATTAAAGATGCAAAATAACTGTGGGATACTATAGCAGTTCGGTATGGAAAAATTAATGGTTCATTGGTCTATCAATTGAGAAGAGATTTAGCTCTTATAAATCAGGGAGATATGAACATCATTGAGTACTATAATAAGATCAACAAGTTATAGGATGAATATGATCAATGGAGACCACTTGTTAGTTGTGTTTGTGAAGGAAAACAGCACTTTGAGAGTAGAGATGCAGAGGATAAGTGTTATCAGTTACTTATGAGTCTGAATGAATGCTATGACTCTTTGAGAAATGAAATTCTTCGCATGAATCCTCTGCCTGATGTGGATACAATATATGCAATGCTGCTTAAGGAAGAAACACAAAGGAAAGTCAGTACTAATCTTATGGTTAAGCATGAGAATTTTGCTTTATTCTCAAAGTCCTATGCAACACCTGGTCATCAGGGAGGTCTGTTGCAATCTTATGGCACACCTGGTGGCTATCGGGGAGGATCTATGCCTAATTCATCCGGATCACAAGCACAGACAGGTCAGTCATCCAAGCAAGTTACGACTAAGGAAATGAAAATATTAGCCAAGAAGGAGAGGATGAAGCTTATCTGTACACATTGCAAGAAACCTGGTCACTTAAAGGAAGACTTCTTTCTGATAAAAGGATTTCCAGACTGGTGGGGAACTCAGAAAGGACCAAACCATACTAATGCACATTCAACGAACGTGGTTGATACACCACTTGAATCAGAAAATCCTAAATCAGCTAGTAACTCTTGGCAAATTCAAAAACCTGAGATCACACAGAACTGGTTGGCATCTTCCACTGCTGGAGGAATTCAGATGTCAGAATATGGGAAAGGGAATTGGCAGAATCTGCTTTCAAGTCTGGTGCAAGCAGAGGTTGGCAAACTTTTGAAGGGCAAAGGATCAACAGGAGAAGCAGGAAGTGGATTCTCTGTCAAATATGCTCACTTAATGACTTCTCAGGTAGTTCTGTTACTCTTTACCTTAGTTCAAATGTGATTGGTTTGAGTAGTTTAGTGTGGGTTACAGATACAGGAGCCACAGGTCATATGTGTTGTTCTATTCAAGCCCTTACTAACATTCAATCAGTTAGTTCTTATACTCTTGTGTTCTTACCTGATGGCAGTGTTAAAGCAGTAGAACACATAGGAGATGTCATACTTTCTGGTAGCATTACTCTTAAATCCATGCTATATATCCCCACCTTTCAACATAATCTTCTTTTAGTTAGAAAATTAGCCCAAACAGGAATCTATTTCCAGTTCTTTGATGATTTCTGCTTGTTGCAGGACCTGAGGACTAACAAGGTTCTTGGAGCAGGCACAATTATCGAAGAACTATACATTCTTACACCATACTCTTTCACTGAAGAAGCTATTCAAAAATCTCAAATAATGTACTCAAAGCTTGTTCTGTCAGCTTCTAGAACAGTTAATCAATTTATCTGTAATCCTGTTTTACATTCTGAAAATAAGATTAGTGCCAATGTAAGTGTTGTTACTTGGCATAATCGGCTAGGACATCCATCAGATGGTGTAATGAGACACATTCATCCTTGTCATCAAACTTTTACTGATCAGGATTTGAAGCAAGATGTATTTGAAATTTGTCCTTTATCTAAACAACACAAAAACTCATTTCCCATTAGCAATATTCAAACTGCTAGAAACTTTGAAATGATTCATGTTGATTTATGGGGACCATATAGAAAACCTTCCCTTACGCATGCACGTTTTTTCTTGACTATAGTTGATGATTTTAGCAAAGCTACTTGGACCTTTCTTCTTACAGAAAAAACACAAGTTCCTTCCACTTTACAACATTTTTTCAATCTTGTTCAAACTCAGTTTCGACAGTCCATTAAAATACCTAGATCTGATAATGGATAGAGTTTTTGAGTCTTGAAACTCAGAAATTACTCTCTAATCTTGGCATTATTCACCAGAGATCTTGTCCTTATACACCACAACAGAATGGTGTGGTGGAAAGGAAACATAAACATCTTCTGCAAGTAACAAGAGCTTTGCTTTTTCAATCCTCCCTTCCAAAAATGTTTTGGGGAGAAGCCATTTTATCAGCCTCATATCTCATCAATCGTTTACCATCTTCAGTCCTTCATTGGAAAACACCTTATGAACTTCTTTATCATAAATCTCCTGATCTTACACACCTCAGAATTTTTGGTTGCTTGGCCTTCATAATTAGTAATGACCCTAGGAAAGACAAATTTGATACTAGATCCATCAAAGGCATCTTTGTTGGTCATCCTTCAGGCCAAAAGGGCTACAAGATTTATATTCCTAGTCATAGAAAGGTCTTTACTTCCAGAGATGTCATATTTCATGAACAAGTTTTCTCTTATAAATCATCTATTTCTCTAGATTCCTTTGATCTGGTTCTTCCACATATTGTTCCAAATCATGATATATCCTCAGATGTTTTACCTTCCATTACTTCATCTGATGTTTTTTTTCCTTTCGAACACAATAGTTTTTCCACTGATCATACTTATGATAGTCCATCTCCAACTCCTACTCTATCTCCTGAACAAAACACATCTTCTCCACCACCTTTCTCTTCAGATCCTTCTTCTTCAACTTCTCCTTTATACCAAGGCGAAGTACAAGGGATAAGAGACCTTCTGTCTTATTGAAAGACTTTGTTCAACCCCAAAAGAAACTCCCATTACCCGGTTCTTCTTGTCAATTTTCTTCAACACATGTGGCTTTTTTGGCAAATGTTTCTGATCTACATGAACCTCAGACCTATAATCAAGCTAGAATTAATGATAAATGGGTATCTGCAATGGACCAAGAATTGCAAGCCCTTGAGAAAAACCAAACCTGGGAACTCACTTCTCTTCCTGCTGGAAAGAAAGCCATAGGTTGTAAATGGGTGTATAAGATCAAATGCAATTCTGATGGTTCTGTTGAGAGATATAAAGCAAGGTTGGTAGCAAATGGCTATAATCAGATTGAGGGTGAGAATTTCTTTGAGGTTTTCTCTCCTGTGGCCAAGACAGTTACTGTAAGGTTGTTTTTGGCTTTAGCAGTTGTGTCCAAATGGCAAGTTTATCAACTAGATGTTAATAATGCATTTCTGCATGGTGATCTAGAGAAGGATGTTTATATGCAGCCACCTCCAGGTTATTCTATAGCTATACCAGGTCTGGTTTGCAAGCTCAGGAAGTCCTTGTATGGCCTTAAACAGGTTTCAAAGCTATGGAACAACAAATTTACTGCCTTATTGCTGAATTATGGTTTTCATCAGTCTTACCATGATTCATGTTTGTTCATTCTCCATTAGCAGGGTTTAATGATTATCCTCTTGGTTTATGTTGATGATGTCATCATCGTTGGTTCTAATGATTGTGAAATCATCAAGGTTAAGAAGCTTTTGGATGACACTTTTACCATCAAGGACTTAGGTCCTGCTAAGTATTTCCTTGGAATGCAAATAGCCAGGAGTGACAATGGGATGTATTTGAGCCAAACCAAATACATCAAAGATCTTCTTAGAGATACTGGAATGCTGGATGCAACTCCTACCTCCACTCCATTTCCTCGTAATCTCAAGTTTCAGAAGAAGGATCCAACTCCTCTTTGTGCAGATGGATCAGCTTACAGAAGATTAGTAGGCCGACTTTTATACCTAGGATTCATTAGGCCATACTTGACTTATGCAGTTTAGCAACTTAGTCAATTTGTTCATCAGCCTCATGAGTCGCATTGGAATGCTGCCATGCATCTCTTAAAATATCTTAATGGTTCAGCAACTCAGGGCTTATTCTATTCTTCAGCTTCTGGACTTGACCTTACAACATATTCAGATGCTGACTGAGGGTCCTGTCAATTCTGTAGACATTCCCTGACAGGTTATTGCATCTTTATGGGATCTTGTCTTATCTCTTGGAAGACAAAGAAGCAGGCAACTACTTCTACTTCATCTGCTGAAGCAGAATATAGGGCAATGGCCGCCACTATTCAGGAGTTAAAATGGCTTTCTTACATCATGAAGGATATGTCTATATCACCCTCTCTACCTATTCTTTTTTTGTGTGATAGTAAAGCAGCCCTCTACATTATTGCTAATCCTGTCTTCCACGAGAGAACAAAACACATTGAGATAGATTGTCATGTAGTGCGAGACTCTTACAAAGCTGGATTCATTTTGCCTACTCATATATCCTCTTCTGAGCAGTTGGTCAACTTGTTTACTAAGTCTCTTTCTACATCTGCCTTTGATCATCTATTGAGCAAGATGAGCCTTTGGCATACCACCACGGCCTATGTTGCCCGGACTCTTCTATTTTGAGAAAATACCCGTGTCGTGTTGTGTCGACACTGGTGTGGATATGAGTGTCGGGTGTGACATTTTAGCCTGAAATATCCAAGATTTTTTAAATATTGATGAGTCAGACACTCAGATCCCCGCACCCGATACGACACCTGTATCCGAGTCCAGGTAACATAGACCACGACTCCTCTTGAGGGGGGGGGGGTGTGAAGAATTACAGTCTGATGATCAGCTAGAATCAAAGCAGGATCAGCAGTATGATGTGCATTCTGTGACTGGTGATGCTCATCCTGTGTCAATGGATGTGCATCCAGTGATAATAGCAGGAATTCCAAATTCAAACATTCAAACTTGTGCATGTGTTTGTATTGATATATCCTCTTTTATATAGTACTATAAGCCTGCTAGCAAGGATAGATTAGTCAATTACACTATGGCGGTTACTCAACTCAAACCGCCATAGCATGTATAAATACAAAATCAGGACACTTAATGGGAGGTGTTTTCAGATACATTAAAATCATCACAGAATTAATTGTGATTTCTCCTTTCTCTCTCTTCATAATCCTAATTCCGTCATTATATTTGCTAGTGTGACGACGGCTTGTCAAATTTGGCGCCGTTGCCGGGGAAGGCAGCTAATATCGAATTTAGATTATTTTCTTTTATTAGTAGATTTTTTAATTTTATTTTAGTTCAAATATTTTTGTCTTGTTTTTATATGCGAAGTGCTAATTCTGAGACTTTGCAATTTGATCTAGAGATAGAAAGAACAGCTCGAGCAAACAGAAAAGAAGCAAGGCTAAGAAAGGAGAAGAATCAGAGTGAAACCATGGGTGATAGAATTCAGACACTGAGGGATTATTTCACACCTACGGAGAATGTTGCTATGTTAAGTATTACTAGGCCTACCATTGCTGCGAATACCTTTGAGCTCAAGCCAACATTGATCCAGATGTGCAGCAGAATCAATTCTCCGATTTTAACAATGAGGATCCAAATGCACACATTGACAACTTTTTAGAGATCTGTGATACTGTTAAGATAAATGGTGTGACGTCAGATGCAATCCGGCTGAGATTTTTCCCTTTTTCATTGAGGGGAGAAGCGAAGAATTGGTTGAATACTTGCGATCCTGGTTCCATCACAACTTGGGATGAGCTGTACAAGGAGTTCCTTATAAATTTCTTCCCACCAGATAAGGCAGCGAAATTGAGAAATCAAATTACTGGGTTTATTCAAGAAGATGATGAGACATTTCATGCTGCATGGACAAGATTCAAGGAATTGCAAAGAAGATATCCTCACCATGGTATTGAGAAAAGTACTCTAGTTCAGACTTTCTATCAAGGATTGACAGACTTTGCAAGAAACAATGTGGATGCTGCAGCCGAGGTTCATTGATGGATAAGTCAATTGATGAAGCCTATGAATTGTTTCAAATTATGGAAAAGAATAGGAATCAATGGTCGAACTTGAGAAGTGTTTCCAAGAAGCCTGCTGGAATGTATGAAATCAATGAACTAAGTGCCATGAACGCAAAGATAGATGCACTGACTAAGGCGATGGGTAATCTTGTAAATGCTAATGCAGTCTTCCATGCCACTGTCTGTGAGTTCTGTGGAGGCCCTCATTTGAGTTCTGAATGTATACAACTGGCAAGTGCACAATATGTCTCTAATTTCAGCCAGCCTCAGCAATAG